ACTGAGCCTCTGGGCATCAATAAAAGTGGTGAACTGTAACTATATATTGTATATCTATTATTTTTTTGTTATATTGTCTTTTTAAAGTAGCCACACCATACCACGTCATATTATGTAATTTCCGGTCATTATTTTACTTCATATCTATTTCTGTAAATTCGTGATATCTCAATAGACCTGATGAAGACTGGTATTGGCCAGTCGAAATATCGCAGCTAAACTCTATTTCACGTTGTTTGATCAGTCCGTGCAAAAGTCTTCTCGACTGTAACGTTCTCAACTTGACCAGTACGCAATAGACGGTGGGGAAATTTCGAATTTCCATGGAGAAAAAAATAAGAGATCTCTAGAATCGGAAAACACAACGACCGTTCCTGGAAAATTCATGCAAACACTTTTTAGGCTACACCTAGTACCTTCACATCTTTAGAAATGTATTTTAAGCGGCGCTATAAGATTTGTCGGTCATCCTAGGGCAACTTAAGTCTTTTGGAAATTTCAAGGGCTTGAGTACTATTTGCCCAAAAATTTTAGATGCAATTTAAATGATTCCTCTCTCTATTACATTCTTGAATACGAGAATTTTAAGTTACCTCTTTCTACGAAAAATAGCTAAACATGGGAGAGAAATGCTAAAAACTACATTTCATAAAATCGTAGGGAATTTATTAGATAAGTTTCGAAAATTGTGCATGAAGGGGCGGTCATCGAGACCATTTTAGGCAGTTCAACCATTGCTTTTTTCCCTTCTCCTCCTTTCTTCCTCTTCGCTTTTTCTTTTTCTCCTTTCCTTTTCCTTCGTTAGTGTGATTTTGGAGCCGATCGGGCCCAGTTCTCATTCATTCAAAACATCGGCTTGATATACATCAAAATAACAGGAGCACATGGCAATTTATATCCTTAAACGAAGTTCTTTGAGTGTATTAGAGGTTTCGATTGATTTGATTATCATGGTGGTTGAACTTTAATAAGAAATGACTCACAGGTAATCGAGATGGTTTAATCCCTTTACAATGACCTTCAAATCATCATATGAAAATAGGTTGTCTTGAAGTTGGCTGCAAAGAAAGTATTGGCCTATGTTTATCCCTGCTTTAAGAATTATCAATGAAACTATATAGATATAGGAGAAGATAATGTTTCTTTCAGCAGTGGAAAATATGTTTTTAATGAGATATTTCAAATGTGAGATGTTAGGGGATGCATAGCATTTACACAAACCACCCGGGTGGAAATCTTGTGTATAAAAATAAAACTATAAAATTTGACGTGGTGGGAGAACGACCCACTAAAAAGTATATTCAAGTCTAAAATGAGTAGAAAAATTGCATCGCCTCAAAACACAGGCCATATTTTCAGAAGCTCCCCTAAAGGAATGACGCAAAACGATTTGGTTTTTTACCTGTGAGTTTTTGGTTTATGCTCCCACCTAAATTAGTAAGTACCCAAGGTCAAAATGTACAGGGACGGAAGCTTGTTATGTTTTGTGAAAAAGATACTAAGCTCTCGTATGATAAAATTGCTGGAAGGCATGTACATTCAAAGTTAAACTAGTCAACTTTAAGTTATATGTTATTGTCCACTACTCACAGCCAGGTCACACTGTCTGGTAGATAAAATCCTCCTTCTATAAAGTTTTGGTGAAGATCGCTGAAATAAGGCAGCAGAGAAGTTTAAGGCCTCTATTGTTCATAACTTTGTCCGACTGATCTACATCTCTCAATAAGTGCATTAATAAACTAGATGTAGATTAATACTCTGAAAAAACTGTAGGGAAAGGCAAACTAGATAAAACTTGTCTGCTTAGAAAACAGATCGTAGTTGGACTATCCTGTTCAATAAATATGTTCAAAACCCTGGCTTCCCATAAATAACACTTATTGTTTTCAAATTTTAAAAGAAAATTAGAAGATTTAAAGCAATTCGACATAAAACATTCAAATCTTTTCTTCATTTCTTACTTTTAAGAAACTCAATATTCACTAACGGGACTCAGTATCTTACACAACTGCTAGCGACGATAGTTTCCTGAAGGTGTTTTGCCGAATGAACCTCAGCTGGTTTTTTGAAAGGATTCTATGGAATAAAATGGACATAGAAGTTAATTAGTTTGGCACGTTAAATAATTGCCTGTGTTAATTCGAATTATTTTCACGTATACATTTTTTGTATTATTAATGGTTCTCATTGGATCACTGAACATTCCTTTTTTTTCAATACGAAGAAGAATAAGAAGAGCGAACCGTCAAAGCCGAGTAACTTCTTGTATCGGTTGATCTTCTTGAAGTATCCATGAGTTAAATTTAAGTTGAATGCACGGATTTGAATTTTTCTTTCAATGGTTTACAGTTTTATTAGTTGAAGTAGGTGGTAAGTACTTAACTGTTTTAGGCTTAGGTAATTTTTTATTTTGCCTCTAACAGTAGTATAATTATGTTTGTGGTAGGTTCTTCCTTACATTTTCTTTAATAGAGAAAGATTCTCAAAGGCATTTTCATGAATGGATTCCAGGGAGTTTCCTGAGAGATTTCTACAAGAAATTAAAAAAAATGGACGACAATAAACGATTGTTAATATTACGAACACATAAATAAAAATAAATTAATCTTTATTTTCCTTGACAGTATTCATTGCCCAAAGGTAAGTTTGGCCGAGCCAACATCTCAAACGAGAATCCCAAATGGCAGCTAGCAAGGGAACCAGTTACCTGTGTCAAACGTGGGCGACAAGGAATTGAACTCTCGCCTGTTTACGAAGAAATCGAGTGTTCTGCATGAGACTGGAACCCGGGACCTGTGGATGGCGTGTCCAGTGCTCTGACCACTCGTTCTTTCTAGTTCAACAACGTTCTCAGGGCTTTTCCCTTGAAAAATGGTACGGGCACGCCCCGACCATCTTATATAGAAAACCTCCTGGGGATGCGAGGTTGTCCGAGTGGTTGTTCTTTATATAATACTGTTTTCTCCCCACCGTCAAAAGCCAGTTGCCGTCAAATTCGGAATGTTAAGAGTTCTTAACAACTGCTTGCCGAAAAAGGGCGGGGCGTACGAGGGAGACATGCGAGGGGAGAGGGAGCGCTTGCCCGAGCGGCCCAAGAAAATCGTTTCTACTCGCTTTCTGGTAGTGCGGAAGATTCCTATCGGTTAAGAGGCTCCCGAGGGAGTAAGTGTTCGCGTTAGGCAAGAAAACTGTCAATAGAAGAAAACACGAGATCGTTTGTACACATATAGTACATAAACAAGGCAGTGAAGGGAAACAACAGAAATGAGGAGGAGTAAATGAAGATGTAGGAAGGTCAATGTAGGTCGATATAGGGGCCATATGGGGTCCATTTTTTGGAGGAAAAATAGAAAAATATAAAAAAAAGACCAAAATAAAAATAATTAATTGTAGAGGAGCAGGAGGGATGGCTTTGTAAAACGTTGCAATTCTATAACAGATATACCAAGGATATAAATGTACAACGCTTTGAAACGCTTTTTTTGTGCAAGTTCAGTAGTTTTCTGTCATAATTTTTAACAGATCACGCAGCGGCTGCCAGGTTATTGGATAAGGGACGGGAAAACATCAGTTCATAGGCCTCTCGGGAAGGTGCTCCCTCTCCCCTCGCATGTCTCCTTCGCGCGCTCTTTTCTTGCGTGATACTTCCAAGCGCCTGCTACCCAGGCTAAACAACTGCCTTCGGGGGCAAACTAATAACAGTTAACAATCACAACAAAACTAGACTCTTGTCTTATGGCTTTATAATCCTAAATACGTACAATATTACTGTGTTTTGTGGAAACCTGTTTGGTAGTTGGTCGATACCGCGACATTTCACTATGACATTTTTTCCAAAGGGTGAACATAGACACTTTGCAGGGCATTCTGTCATTTCGCAGGACAATGCAAGCCATAGGACCAAAATCATTGGGTTTAGAAGACCTCGTATCGTCATTGTTTAGCTGTATGTAGTAAGAAAAAAGATTTAATCAATAACCTTCCATAGATGTTAACCTTAGTGTCACAACGAATGTTCAGCCATTCCAGGAAACATACTTCTAGGCCTGTAGGTTTTTTTAGGCAAGACCGTAAAATTTTCAGAAAAGTTTCTAATGCTAAAGGACATCCACTTTTATCTATTATGCCTCGTGTTAAGCCGTCCAGTGACAGTCTTCGGAAAGAAACTTTTTTTAAGGTACAGTAGAATTTTCGGCACCTCATTTTATTGTATAAGCGTAAAAGATAACAAAGCTTCTGGACTGGACAATGTGCCTATATCTGTCATGAAAAAGTCCTTTGGCCAAGGTAAAACGAAATTAATAATGGCTATGTTTTGGTATTTTTAGAGCCTAAATAAAATGACACAAAAAACCAGACCGTAGACTGTTCACAGTCGCCTATTTTTTCGTAAGATCGTCAGGATCCAGCTCTTACCGGTACGGACGGCCATCTTTGTTTCATATGTACCCAAAGGGGTGAGAGTCGGAGCTTAAAGTGGTAGAGGGATGGAGGGAGGCGAGAAAAATAGAGGTATTGTTCTAACATCACCGCAGCTCGCGTTCAAGGAGCGCGTGGTGCCAGCCGTCTGGTCCTTAGACCTAGTCTATGACTCATAGCTCTAAACGCAAAATGAAGGCAAGCGGTTGTATTAGCTCTGAGAGCGACATTTTCTCTCCAGACGGGAAAAAAGCCTGCAACAGTCCACGATCGGAACCAGACAAAAGTGCTGTATTTAGCAAAGACGATCAAGTGTTGGAAGCTTTGAACATAACGGAAAAAAATCGCTACACAATTGGAACGGATCTTCAAAACTCTTGCTGAGGTAGAAAGTAGGTTACAGAATCTTGAATGCATATGTTAACGTTTCTCCGCTTTGGAGAAGTCGGCTTGACCTTGAAACTGAGCTTAAAAGATTGGCGTCAAGACAAGAAAACTGGAAGGAGAAGTGAATGAACTTAACAAGGCGAAGGAATTCGCTAACTGCGAAATTAAAGACCTAAAGAAGAATGAAAAGGAAAATGAAGTCAAAATTAAGGAACTTGTGGATAAAATATTGTACCAAGAGGTGTAAAACAGGCGAGGAAACCTTTGGCGCTCCGGAATTGGCCGATGGTGCTGAGAACGCGCCAGAAGTTGAGGGTACATTCCTTAGTGATGAATTGGAGATGGAAAACGCAGCAAATATTGAATTCCAGCGAGCTCACAGAATAGGAAAGAAGAAGACGGGAGAAACTAGACTGGTTGTTGTTCGCTTTTTGAGATTTCCAGAACGTGAGCTGGTACTTAGAAGATGCGCGAGCTGGCGGATGATATTGAAGGTTCACGCGGATTTTCCTACAGAGATAAGCGGAGGAAGAAAAGAGCAGAAAAAAAAAACAACAACAACAACAATGGGCGCGTCTTAAAAAAGCAAGAAAGGAGGGATGGAAAGATCGCTTTTTTAGCAAACCAGAACCTGATAAATTATTTGTCGATGGGCATTTTGTTCCCTTCTAGGCAAATCTAGGTCTTTGGACTCGGCTTATTTTAATCGCCTTGTTTGTAATTTTCATCAGGCTTTTTTGTAACGGTAGAGGCATGAGTAAGTTAGGACAATTGGAAGGTGTAGTTAAAACGATTGTCCCAAGCTTTGGCAGTGTCTTACCTCGCAGCTATATTTAGAGATTTATTTGTAAGCGCATAATTTAGTTTCTCATTGATCCCATTCAGAAAAGAATTTTCGGATTTTAAATTATTTTTTTAATGTCGGAGGGATTCGATCCCCTACAAAAAGGAAAGCCCTTTTTACCTGGCTAAATGAACGGAGGCATCACATCATCTTTCTTCAAGAAACCTAGCACTGTAGATGTTGAAGACATTTGGAGAACACACTGACGAGATGAGCTTTTTTTTTTGTTCAAGGCTCAAATTACGAGTTGTGGGGTGATAATTCAATTAAAAAGTGTCTTAGATTTTAATCCAAGAACTATTACTTATGATGATGAGGGCCGCTCTATTATAACTGAAGCTGAGGTGCAAGGTTTGTTATTTTTGATCGTAAATATTTATGCTCCAAACAAGGTTCAAGACCAATGCCGTTTTTTTGATAACCTAAACAAAAATATTGACGACTGTGTTGTTAATGCTTCGAATTATTCTTAGGGGAGACTTTAATGTTGCACTTGACTTTCATCTTTACGGTTCCAGTGGCAGACCTTTTTGAAAAGATTCTGTAAAACATATACAAGATTTATTCTTGATTTTGATTTGGTTGACATTTGGCGTACACGAATTCCGGACTCTAAACGCTTTACGTGGCGTCAAAGAAATCCTTTCATTTAAACAAGAGTTAACTATTGGTTGATTAGCGATGTATCCCAAGACGACATTGAGAAAGCCGAGATCATTCCTTCGATAAATTCGGACCATTCGGCAATTTTTCTCCATTTTAACAGCATAGACAAACCTAACCACGGCCCCTCTTTCTGGAAGTCTAATTCTAGCCTTGTGAATGATGACGACTTTGTTGCACTGATAAATGAAAGTGTGCTTTTGTGGTTAAAGGAATTCAAACAAGAAGTTACAGATAAAAGGCTGTTGTGGGATTTAATTAATTAAGTACAGGATTAGACGAATTACAATAAAATACAGCAAAGAAAAAGCTCCTGAGAAGAGAAGAAAGATTTCTGATATTGAGGCTTCTCTGAAGATTTCTAAAGAGATTTGCGGCAGATCACCAACTCCTGAGAACCAGGAGCAGTTTTAATTGTTTGAATGGAGGACGATTCTTATCTATGAACAGATAGAAAAAAGGTGCTATAATCCGATCGAAAGCCACTTGGTATGAAAAGGGAGAAAAAGGCAATAAGTTTTTTTTGAAATCTCAAACACATAAGAAAGCTAAGAGTTCTGTCCGAAACAATTTCGACGATAATGGAGTTCCTATCACTGATCCTTAAAAAAATATTGCAGGAAATTCAAAATTTTTATTCTAATCTCGAAAACGCTATCCTCGGTCCATCTGAAGACACGGGACTTATCGAACTGGAGTTTGGTTTCGCTTGTTAATGTTTATTTTAAAATAGGTACAAAGGCCATTGCTAAGAGATTAGTCTGACAATAATGTTTACCAAATATCATACTTTACAATCAATCTGCATATGGAAAGAATAGAACCATTTTTTGAAGCGGTCAGGACCATAGAGGACGTTATGGAATTTTCAAAGAGATACAGTATTGATGAAAGAATGGTTTGGATATATTTTAAAAAGGCGTTTGACACAGTTAGTAACGGCTTTTTATTTCGAACTTTATCTTTTTTTCGTTTTGGACCATCTTTTATTCAATGGATCCACACTCAGTTTACAAGAACATCTCGAGTTGTGTCTTAAACAATGGCTTTTCAACTTCACCCTTTGCAGTTGAAAGAAGAGTAAGACAAGAAACCATCTCTCTTCTTACTTATTTATTATAGTATTAGAAGTTTAATGTGTTAATTAGCCTGTTCCACGCTCAGAGATAGTCGGGCCCGCTGAATTAAGAAAGCGCGAAAACGAGAATAAAACGGGGGGAAACTGGGGAGCCAAGGGGCGACGGGGCCTGTAATCATTTCTTTAAATGACCCGTTCCGGTATGCCAGCTCCTGGTATATCCTCTGATTGGTCAGATTTGACAGATTATATCAACGCTCTCAAAGTTGGTCGTTCCTGTCACTCAGAAAGATGGCGTCCACGAAGACGTCCAAGCGCGTGAAACAGAGGAATCCGCGATAACTTCTGGTTTGAACGAATGTTTACGAGATTTCCCGCACATAGGAGCGCTCAGCAAGGAACAGAAGACCTGTCTTGTGAACTTGGCGTGTGGAAAAAAATGTTTTTGCAATCCTGCCAATCCGTCTTGCCTGATAACAAAGTGGCAATAACAGATCAGTCGCAAGAAGGAGTTATCTACGCGCTCCAGTCCAGACTCACATTATCCTTAGATCTCTTTAGAAGGAAAGCAGCGTTTAAAAATCATTACTAAAAGAGCAATCTTGACAACGCTCTCACAAAGTTGTTCTCCATATTTAAGTAGCTTCAGTTTACGCTGCAATCCAGTTTAAAAGAGGTCAAAGAAAATGTTCTTGCATCAGAGGGTAGTCTGGGACCAGGCTCTGCACAGGGGGGGAAAGGAAAAAAATCGGTGTGGACGGAAAAAAAAGGTAATCTGGGAGGTAATCTGGGGAGGGGAGAGGATGGCATAGCCTGGAGACATGCCTTTGATGCTCCGCCGCCCTCCAGTAATTAACCTGTCATTGAAATGTCAACACGTCAAGTTTTCATCACGGATGTCAGGAGATCCCTCAAGTTCTCAGTTCGCGTCATAATGCTCGTTTACGTAGCTTCTTATATTAAATGTACCAGAGGAAATATTGCTATGGGTAGAGTTTATATTCCGCGGAGGAGAATTGTGTAAGTATAGCACCCTATACAGCAGTTTGAGTATATTCCTTGTTAATTTTAATCCGTTTTACAAGGTAATTTGTCTGCTCAATATCGTTTAAACGTCAGTAATAATCATTTTCCTTGATTTTCCTTCACCGCTGTTATCTTTGTACTAGCCTGCAAGCAGAGGTTTTTAGACCTTTTTGACGTTTACGAAGCCGTTCGCGTCGCTTAAACCATGCAAGTGAGAAGCAACTGCTGACAGGGTATCCCTGTACTGTTGCGATTCACGCGTTCTCGGAGCACAAAGCTTAGCTGTACGCAACATGCTCTCTTTGCATGTATCCATTGATTTTTGAGTTTTATCACTCTCTTTGTAGGAGGGTGATTATTTTTCTTTGCCCTTTGAACGTCGGTTTATAAGTCGATTGCTTTCTAAATGTGACCGCAGTTTATCACAGGAAAGTATAAGAAAAATTCAATATTTGGAATGCTTAGTTTTTCTCTTTGCAGCCGATCACAGTCATATTTTTTGCTCTTCTTGGAGCCGAGGGATAAGCGAAAAGTCTCGCAAAGAAATTTATATTGCTTGCTCAAAATTCGTCTTTGAAAATCTTTTCCCGAGTCGTAGGAGCTTGACATTGAAAGAACGCAAAGACATTTGACCAGTCAGAGCATGGTACCAGAATCTGGTATCATGGAACGGCGGCATCAAAGGCATGTCTCCGGGCCCCGCCGCCTTTCCTTCCCTCCCCAGACCACCGCTGGGCTCGCTTCGCTAGCCGATATTTTTCTTATTTTTTTTTTGTTTTTTGCCTTTTTCCCTCCACTGCGGAGCCTGGTCCCAGGCTAATCAGGGGGCAAATCATCAATCATACCGACCAGAAACAATAACCGCAACAAAAAAATGCGTGTCACGATCTCTCACCATGAAACAAGCGACAAAAATCACACAGTTTGCTCAGTCAAAATGTACACCCCTCCAGAGCATAATCTACCAATAAGAGAAAATATTCATTGGAACAAGCAGCATTTTGGCACGAGATAAAATTTGTGTCGCTTTTTACACTCCAAATTTCTCACGCTCGCGTAAGGGATTAGCGCCGCGCAAAATAATCTCGCTAGAAATTCCTTGACATTTCAACAGTTGGACAGCCGAAATCTAATAATCTCAACTGTGTCAAAAGTGGGCGAGTTATGGTCGTAAAAGAAATGATTATAGGCTCTCTCTCCCTTCCTTTTTCTTTTCCCTCCCGCCAACTTTTCGCGAGCCTTTTACTTTCGCGTCTCCCCCACTATCGGAGAACCTGGAATAGGCTTTGTGTTTTTAAAATATACGGCGTAACAGTAATGACATCCGTGGTATTATAGTTGATAATCAAGAGATCAAAGTAAGTCTGTTCACAGATGACCTGACTGGGTTTTTAAAAGATGATCTCTCTCTAACAAACATTGTTAAACTTATAGAAGATTAAGGAACTTGCTCTGGTCTAAAGGTTAACTACGAAAAGTCAGAGCTTTTTCTGCCACGTAACAGGGCCTATACCGTACCAGAAACCGCTCTGGAAACAACATGAAAATTAAACGATCTGTTAAATCTTGGGAGTAACTTTTACCTGCGACAATCGAGCAAAATAAAACTTAAACATCAATGAATTAATCAGCTCCATTCAACTTAAGCTACGAATCTGGAGGTGGAGGGATTTGTCTATCACGGGGAGAATTCAAATTGTCGAAACCTTTATTATCCCTATCTTCTTCTATCGCACGAGCTTGATATCACTGGATAAAGAATTTGTGAAAGAAGCAAACAAAATCTTCGTTGATTTTATCTGGAAAGGAGAGCATAAAGTTAAACGTTCTGCTCTTAGTAGTGACAAAAACTGTAGATCATTCCAGGCTGAAACGGATTTAGCGGGGAGACCTGTTCGAAGCAGTTGAGCCCGGAAGGCAAAGAATTGCTAGATTGGTGCACGTGTTAATCTGTAGCCACCTGTTGAATAGTTCGAGTTTGAAATTGTTACTGTTACTAGCTTACCTTTTTTTTTTACTGTTTGTTGAATTCTCTCGGTTATTCGTGATTCCGCTCTTTGATGTGATATGCGCTAAGTGGCAGCATGAGGTTCGCAACCTTAAAATGTGACTTCTCGAAAAGGAACACTTAAAAGAAAGTCGTCCAATCATGACGGTTTTGGAAAAAAGAGGATTTTGATTCATGACTTTCTGTTACGTATCCCGCATCTGTCGCTGCATTGTAAAGTTGAAACCTGGAATGCGGTTTTTTGCATTGAAAAGTGGTCTGTGATGAATGGCAAAATAAAGGTAATCCGAGATGCATGTTTTTAAAATTTTTAGCAACAAGGCTCACGTAATATTGTTCAATTTGGTTGCGGCAAAATGGTTAATAACTGGTTGGTTTACTGAATTAATTCATAGTCTTGGAGCTCTCTTCAGAAGTGTTTCGAACCTCGCTAGTGCCAGGTTCGAAATTCAAGGATAATCTGTAAGTCAAATGCATTGAACGTTATCTTCTTTTCTCAAATTTCTCTTAATGCGGATGATTTGTGTATGTAGTTTATTCAGTGACACAATTTTTTTGTAACAAAAGCAAAAGCCCTTAGCCTGCGCCAGATTTACGAAATATATAGAGCTGTGGCAACAAGTGCTGACATTTTTGTGACGTAGTTTATGGTAGTTTAAGTAGTTCATCAGGAATTTCGTTGATTGTTCGATTGTGCTCGAGGTTTCACACGTGCTATGGTGAGTCTTATTATGATAAGATTGGTGGTTCAAGGTACGCCCTCCCCCACTTTGGTGTTCGACACGATTTTGATTTTTACTGTCTTTTTAATGCGTTACTGTTACTGTACGATGATGCAAATGTGAGGTTTACATGAAGCCCCTTCTAAACGCAATTCGAAAATTATGGCATTTTTCAGAGTGGCCAAAAAAACTGCCTCTGAAGATGGGTAAAAACGTCATTGAACAAGGAAACAGACACTACCAAGATCCGAAGATTACGAATAATAATATTAGCCACAATTAAAAATAACGTTATTTAGCGTTCGGGATACAATTACGATTAGAGTCTTTCTCGTTATGGCGTTCACTGAGTATTACCCCGTTAGATACTCCGTCATTCATCAAGTGAACTCTTGGATCAGAAGATGCCTTTGTACATCAAATGGCTCTGATCTTTGGCCAAAGACCGTCTGGAAACAGCTAACAATCTTTCTCTTGATATAAGCCAATCCACGATGAATCATTTTGATGCAATGTAGGACACACGATGACACCTTTTTGTATACAAACGATAAGTGCGCGATCCCTTTACCTAAAAATAAAAGTTTAAGACATCATGTGATATTTAAATCAACAGGATTAAAAATTTAAGATTAGCTAAGATTAATTGCAATCTTCCTAAAGAGTGGCATTTAATTTTTTCGTGCTGGTGGCATAAAATCCCTGCTTTTATGTACAATTTTTTGTAGCTCGATTTTTGAAAACGTTTCCAGCAAATAGACCTACTCGGTCAATGGACCTTTTTCGGCCAAAATCTCTGTGCAAAGAAGCCAATATAAAAACTTATAGTGCGGCCATCGCTTTTTTTCTCTCTCCTCTCTTTCTTCTCGAACTTACTATTTATCCTGCCTTTGTTAGGATGCCGCTTTGCGAATCATTGAAGAGAATCTAAGGTTTTAATTTTTCACAAGCCAGAAGGGGCTCTGCTCATTGAGTCAGTCAAGAAACTAGCAGTTGAATAATCATTAGGCTTACCCAAAGCAACCAGCAGCACAGAGCTGTTGAGGACGACGAACAGGATGTTCACGATCAAGGAGTCATTATCTTTGGTGACGTCAGAGGTGCTGTACATTGCCCCGAGGCAAACGTCAAAGAAGATAACCCACAGAACAAAGGTTTGCAGTAGATCTTCAAATTTGCCTTTGATCGGGCGGAAGAATGTGTAGGCCACACCAAAGACACTCACGACCAGGAGAGTCAGACCAATCTGGGATACTCCCCCTGAACCAAAAAGGAAAATTAGTGAAATAAGTATCAACTTTCGGTACATCTCTGTTATTTCCCAGAACCAAAATTTATCCTTGTAGTTCTCAAAAAAGACTTTCAGTCCAAAAGAAAGTTCCTCATACCGCTCTGATTGTCGGTATTTATAAATAAGCAGCAGTACCATCAGAGGAAATCCCACAGGGTATACGGAAAACACGGCAGCAAATGGCCAATACGTCTTGTGCTGGGGAGTAAAACATTGGATGGAGTAATCAGCCTTCATGAGAGAGATACACTGGCTTCCTTCATCTGAAAAGCAATGTTTGACGCATGCGCCCTGAAGAGGAAGAATTTGGATAATTGTTTTACTTGTCATGGGATATGATGCCAGCAGAAACAGGAAAATGTTCCGATAGCAAGACCTCTTCAACCGAGAAAGAGCACGTAGCTTTTCGCTCTCTGGACGATCCTTATTGCCTTTGATGTACAGCAATTGAAGGAACATGTAAACAAAGGCAAAAGAAACGACAACAAAGGTAACAGAAAGAACCAAGATGAATTGTAAGAACGGGTTAAGTCTAAGTTGAGAATAGACGCAACTCCATGGTGCAAATTGAAAGATATTGCCATCAAACAATTTCAGAAACTTATCCATTGCGATCAGAGTAACTGGCCAATGAACTCTGGTCAGTGCCGAGAAAACACCGGAAATAACCTGGTAAAACCCGATGACAATTTTAAAGCAGGACATGATGATATCTGCAACAGTACGATTATTTTCTGTCTTTTTGGAGTCTCCCCACAGAACCATTGTAAAGATCAGAATAAAGACTCCAATAACCACCAATGATGAAATTATGGAAACCAAGAATCCAGGACATTTCAAACAGAAATTAAATCGTAAGTAATAGCCATGAGAACACGTAGCACACAAGTTTCCTTGGTATCCTTCTTCACACTCTGAATGTATTCCTCCCTTGCAGGACCCAGCAAAAGGACATTTTACTGGTTTGGGCAGTGAAATAGTAAATTTGGAGTACGTATCGTTGTAGTCAGGACCAAAACTATGGATGTTGTCAACAAACTCTTTGTAGAACTCTTTGCTACTTTGATTGGCCCATTTCCAGAAATAATTAGGTGCAAGTATTGCTGTATCGTCGACACATTTGATGCCATGAGCTGGACATTCTGAACATGGGCCAAAACGATCCAAACGGTAAAATCTACGCAGGCATTTGCATGCGCGATAACCAGCATGTTCGTTTGAGAGCGTCCCTGTTCAAAGAAAAACAATTGACAAGGGATGATTTCGGAAAAACTAAAACTTTAAATATAAATGTTTTTGCGAAAACTTAATGCTGCTGTCGCTATCTCGATCTGATTCAGGAATGAAACTTAAAATTTCAATCAGGTGATTCCACCGAGAAAGGGTCTCATAAAGCCTATGACGTCCACAATAACGCTCAAAAATTTAATTTCAAGTATCACGCAAACCAAAACTTATCAAATCAAAGAGAGAAATTATTTCCCGGGATGTGATGTTGTGTGATTTACAGTTTTTTTTAATGGTATCTTTTATTGAAACAGCCAGGAACATGTCATTATCACATTGCCTAAAATACACCCTGTTTATCTCCCAGTTCTCCACAACCATTGTCTTCCAATTTCTCTTGGATATAGTAGTCGTCCCAAGAGATATTGCAGCGTTTATGCAAAATTTTGAGGGGTAGACAGTGTGTATTATGGGCAATGTGAAAGTGGTTAATTACATTTCCCGAGTTTGATTAATTTGTCCTTGACTTGTGTACAGCAACAAAATAAGCAATTTCTATTAGTCTACAAGTAGAAATTACTTTCTCGTCAGCAATATGATTTATTGAACGAATAATATTGACTATGATGATTCCTACCGTACGGACATGCCCAGCAGTCAGTTGCACGGATACCCGGATGTCGTTCTTTGGAGACGAAAGTCCCTAAGCTGCATTGCTTGCAGTTAATCTGCCCCATTTGGTCTTGGTAAAAGCCTCCTGTTAGGTTATTGTAAAAAATAAAAGTACTAAAAATTTGTAGTGAACGGTTGTCTTTAAAGATAAAAGAAAATTAACACCACAATACTTATTTGTGCGTGCAGGTGCGTTGACTAGAAGTAATCCGAAATGAGCCGCGCCGTGAAGTTCTTTTTATATAGTATAGATGGTCTTCTTAGAGAGACTATTATGAAGCTAAATGGCTGTTGCCGTTGCCGTTGTAGAGGTTAAACTCGGGTGTGCAAATGTGTATGGAATGCATGCACGGACGAAAGAAGCGTGCATCTGTGAAAGGGAGCCATTGTGGAAAAGTTCAATTCAATTTGAATAGTCAGACTGTCATTGTAACGTATAAACACTAAGGACAATATAACGTGCTACCTTCATGAACAGATCAATGCTATTTTAAAATAGATTTAACGATATTAAATAAAAATTATATTATATTAAAATTAGTAAAATATATCACCTGCAGGACACGCTTGACAAGAACCAAACATGTTTACTTGTTTGGAGGTATCGACGGCAAAGTAACCAACCGGACAAAGACTGCAGTTAGAACATCTCCATGCAATAACAATACCTGGTGTACATTTGGGGCACACAAAACCTGAACGTACAAAACTGTCAAGGTTGAACGTTTGTTCATCAAGGCGGAGCAGGTGAAAAACAGCCGAAGGAGCGCACTCACTGAAGCACAAGAAATAAGAAACAGTATTAATTTCGGCGAGATCATGACCAGATTACTACCGATTGATTGACTGTTAACAGGAATAGGATGTATTGTAAAAGATGACCAGAAAGTTTAAAGCAGTAAGGAGCGAGTTACCAAATCTTGAATGAAGGAGGGATACTGATTGCGTAGAGCCTTGAAGATTAGAAATAGAATCTTGAATGTAATTCACTCAGAAGTAGTCATACTTGTGGGAGCATATAATTGAGAGGGCGACTGAATTTGCATAGATTGAAGATTTTTCAGGTCATATTTCGGCAAATTATGGCAAAGAGGGTTACAAAAGTCACCCTTGGAAGGCGCGAAAACCTGGACGAGAATTTGGGTGGTCTTTTCGGTACTTTTTTTGTTCACTTACATGACTGATGAATAATTTCCGGCAGGAAGCTGATATAGGTTTCCACAAGTTACAGACCTGCGAGAAAAAACACTGTAAAAATTGCTACTGAATTACATCAATTGTCATTGGAATTGCATGGAGTTTTCTTTCTCTTTGCAAGAGTTAGCCATTCTGAGGCTCGTGTGATATATATATTTTGTATAAATGTTTATGTTCAGTATCATGGCTACAATAATTTTTTTATTCACACTATGTTGATCTTAGGGACCTCGGAGCAAATTAGAAGTGTGGGGTTAGCGATAACAGGTGGCTAGGTACGAGTGAGCGTCAAGAAAAGTCGGGAGGCATACGTTCTTACCACAAAAAACACTTCGAAATTCAAGTCTCCTGAACAAGCCGCCATAAAATAAAAACACCTTAGGCCCGTTTCAAACGTCGTGCTACTGCCGTGCCGAACTAAATTGATCGAATTAAATTCGAAGTTAGCACGGCAGTAAGGCGACGTTGGAAACCAAGTCGTGCTACTGCCGTGTAGCACGGCAAGCTGCCGTGCCGAACTCAATTCATAAATTATAAATACATTAGAATACATTTAAAAGTTTGCTAAACCACTTCTTAATTTTGTGTCTTGTTTTCGGCAACTGCCGTTCTATTCGACCCAATTAAATTCGACGTCTGAAACTAAGTCGTGCTAGTGTCGTGCTGCAGTCGAGTGCAGTCCTTAGAAATAGTCACAACCCACATCCTGTCATAACCAATTTAAAAAAAACAAAACAAAACAAAGCAAAAAACAAAACGAAACAGGTTGAAACAACACCACAAAAACTTTTAGTATTTTAAAATACTTATTAGCTTAACGAATAAGTAATAACTGGATTCTATATAGGAACTTACACTTTAGTCTTGGAGGTCATATCCCTAAATATCCCATCTTGTATATAAGTTAAAGGATTATCAAAGAGTGTCCTGTAAGATAACAATTAAGGGATATTTTGAAGACTAAATACCAAGTTAACAGCTTTTGTCTCAAGAGTTGGACTCCTTATCGTCTGGGTTCAATAAAAGAGAATGGAGGTGAAGATAATACAGCAAACCATCTAGCCTACAGCAACTTTATCAAGCATTTCCCACAGAACTAGAATACCACGGTTTTTATTTTCTTTTTTGCTTAAAATCTATAGACGTTGTGGACGTATTTATTTCCAGCTAGCGTGTTATTGTATTTGTCTTATAATTAAGGCCAATGTAACGATTTGGAATATTTTGGAAAATTTTCATTTTACCTAGATTGGTTCGTAACTTCCTTTGTCTCCTAGCCTTAAGAGACAAAAGAAGTTGAGAATAGTCCAGTTTCGAGTTCGCTATGACCGCTGAATTAAAGAACTGAAGACGCATTTTTTATAGGCTTAGCCTCCATCTAGTAATATATTCACAAATTCCAACGAGAAAAAGACCTGTTTATTACTCTGTCTATTGTTTTTATTCAAATTTCAAACACTTACTTGCCGGAATTTCTAAATATTTTACGTTATGTCAAGGTTAACCCTGTATGAATGTGTGGTAATGTTTCGGGTAATCAGCGGTAGTTTTTAATTCGAAACTGGACTATTAACCTAGGTTAAAAAGTTTTAACATGAAATCAAATTTAACCTGTAAGATATACAACAAACAGGCCTCTTACGAATCCCGAATATAAATAGAGCCTTTCACTCACGTTACCAGCAGCTATGCAAATCTTTGGAAAAAAATAAAGAAAGTTTTTCATAAGAAAAAGGTTCAACTTCCACAGGATTGCATTGGGCAACCAATATGGTGCAGGTGACTTCATGGCAAACGCTCTATAGGAATACTGTTTGTAAATAGTTTTGTTGCACAACGGGCAGGGGACGGAAATGTTTAAAGCATAAATACCTACAGTGAACTGAGTTTATTGAGACCACGGAATGCGTTGAGATCAATGCTTTTGATGGAATTACCATGTAGAAACCTGAAAAATATGAACCTAAAATATATTTTGGCTTTTTTACACAGACCGTTGCGTTTATGGGTGGTTCTTAACATGAGACTGGCTCTGATATGCCGCCAAAATTCCTGCGGCATATTCCACCGTTACAACCTGGGATACTGTTTGGATATGAGAATTGCAGTCGTCGGCAACAAGGTCAACAAAAGCCATCCTAGTTGTTATCACCGGCCAGTGTTTCTATCTAGGATTTATCGTTTGGGGGAGAAGTCCCGAGTGGCCGAAGGCCACGAGCTTAAAAGCGGGTTCCGGGGGCATGCCCCCTCCCGGAAAGTTTTTGAAATGAATATGCGCTGAGATGCAATCTGGTGCATTTTAAAACACAATTTTGAGAATTGTTACAGAGTGTGCACTGACCTCATCGCGTCTGGATGATTTTTCCGATATAGTTACTTATATACTGTAATGATAACAATATTTTTTGGTATGAAAGCTGGGCATTTTTTTTTGGGGGGGGGGAGCTTCTACCCTTCAAATACCCTAGATAGAACCCCGCAGTGGTATGCCTGGAAGATGAGTTGATCAGATCAGGGTGCCTCCATGAATCAAGGAAAATAGAAAAGCCAGCTTTAATTCGCGCGATCTTTTCAGTTTTCGAACATCTTAGTAGAAAACTTCTAATGTTGTGTAAAGAGAAATATGTTAGAGCGCATTAATACAGTGATAAACCGTAACCAGCAAGAAAATAGCCCTCCATTTAAATAAAGTTTTTTTTTTTATTAAATTTGCTGATTGACTGGTAGCGATAATATTTCCCCTCTCCTGTTGGCTTGAGTTATTTAATATCTGTGCGAATAGCGAGTTCTTCATCCAGTGAGAAAGGTGGATGTGGAAAAAGTTTACCTCCAGAATTTATCAACGCTTTATAGTCTTATTACTTACAAAGAAGTTAGCTTCCTGAGATCGGCAAAAGCATCGCGGGGAATAAACTTCAGATAATTGTTTATCATTGACCTGCGAAGGTGCATTAAAATATGTTAAAGGCTATTTTGGGTCTTACAGCTGCTGCCTTCAATATAAACAAATTTACAACAATAATGAGCAAAACTTACAGTGTCGATAGCCTTGAAAGGTTAGCAAACGTTTGGCGACTTATACGGGAAACATTGTTGAAGCTTAAAATCAGCTCCCTGAAAAAACGGAGCAAGTTAGGTATAGCTTTTACAAAAAAATATAAAAATCGTTGCCTGACAAAGCCACTTCTGGAGCATTTTAATTCAAGCTTTAATCTAAAATTTGAATATATGTATAATAGTAAGCATGTTGCGTACTCATGCACCAGGGCCAGGTTCCTAAAAGGCCGATTAGCGTTAATCCAGGATTAAATTTTTGTTCCGTTTTTGTATTTTACATTCCTATGGATTTCTTAGAGTAACTTTTGTGTTTTCTTGTACTCGACAGTATTTTGTAATCTCGAGTTGCATGTTCTTAGGCGCGAAAACCGTGCTTGAAATTTGGCTCAATCCTGGATTATACTTCACCATCGTTCGAGGAACCGTGCCCAGAGGGTTAATGTTAAAATACACTTTATGCAGTCAAGTAATTTGAAAGTGTTTTTTTGCAAAAGTTTTAAGTTAACAGATTCAAGTAGACGGTCGGTCAGTCAGTCAGTCCGTTACATATCATTCTCAACCACGCAGACGAGAGTGCTTTATAACTATGAATAAAAAAAACTTTTTACAACCAAACCAAGTGGAGCGTAGGCCCAAAGAGCCAGCATAGAAGTGAAATCTGTTATATTGCATGCATTTATGATCTCTTCGGTGGATTAAAAAATCTTCTTAAGTTTCTATGAAAACAGTTATATTGAGTTCAAGAAGAATAATCATTACACATGCGTGATTGCTGAAAACATTCTTTGAAATAGTCAGTCCATACTAGAATGTATGGGGTGGAGGTGGAGGACACTTGACCTGGTTTGACTGTACATGCAACAACTTTGACGTTCCTGGACTTTTCATTATTTTTATTCATTCCTTTTCATTTTGCACTAAAAAGATATACTTTGAATTTTTTTTTACTTACGAAAAGAGAAACTCCTGGCCTCCAAGAAATAGGTTGTCTGGTACGGTAAGATTGTTGAAAGAAAGATCGCTACGAAACAGTATCAAATTAGTTAACATTTACTATCGCGATACAAATAAAGAACGATTTAATATCGGTGTTATTCTTAGAAATGTCTTTTGATCAACTATTTCGAGGCAAAAACCTACTTCGATGATCAAACTGCGTATCCCTGCACCAATGAGAAAATGTTCCAGATGGCTACATAACAAGAGTTTTTAAATTGTCGTAGCTGCATTTGTGAGTAAAATTGTAAATAGTTTGCAGGGGCATAGGTTACGTACCTAAAAAAATGCCAAGGGTAAAAAAAAAAAATAATTATATCAAGTAAAAAGAGGAAAATAAATTAAAACAAAATTATCCTCAATCTTCAATTAACTCTGCTATATTCTTTGAAGTAGTGTATTTTTTCTAAAACAACGACCTTTTTCCTTTTCACACCGAAATGTCAATTTCCAAAGAAAAGACGCTTGACTCATCGGTTGACCGACACATTTAGCGAATAGATGAGAAAAGGGCACTGATAGCAGCAAGGCGATGTGCCTTTATACTCATGGCATGTAATTTAGAAACTTATGGGAATTTAATGTATAACTTGATATATATTTCTAGTTTCTAGTTTTTTTATCTAATTTATTGTATTATCTTTTCATAATTGTAAGGCCCAGTCCATTTTGAACACCGTGTAATTAGTTTAAGTTGAAAAAAAAATTTTTTTTTAAATTAATATCTATATCTTTGTAAAATAATTTCGTAACTCGCTTATTTCTAAGCGCGACGATTTTACTAATAAACCAGACTTTAATTTTTAAGCTGGATGTATAAAATATGAAAAAGTTGTTTTTGGGAGTGTTAGGAAGCAGGGGGATTTTGAAAATTGTGCTTACGACTTGAAAAATCCTGGCTACGCCCCTGGCTTGCGAGTTCATGGTTCCTTTCCAAGTCGTATATATATATTACTTTTGTGGGTTGCTCATGTAGTACTTACACACTTTCTGTCACACTTATTTTCCGAAACAAATTGATCGGCAGTTGTTCAATTTGATTATAAGCCAGTGTCCTGGAAGAGAAAGTTACAAATGAACTATAAGTAAAATGTTGGGCATAGAAAAGTATTTCATATACATTTGTGACATAGAAAAGTATGTTTGCAATCGGGTATTGTCATGTCTACACGACTGAACTAGGCAACCACATGGTAAACAACATTGTTTAATGTCCCGGATGTGACTACTGTCGAGTGATTACATAACAGGTGTAAAAACGCAAAACATACAGTTTCTGATTGACAGAATTTAAAATTTTGTTTAACACCTGCACATTTCCAGAGGGCCTTAAGCCGGCTCATTTTATAAAGTAATTACTAAAAGTAGTGCAGTAGTAAATTCTGAAAATCCTCGCTCAACAATTCTTCTTAAAAAAAAAAAAACAGCGTCGTCTGTAATCATGTCTTGTTCCTGTTCCTATCTGTAATTTAGCTAGTTAAATAAGTGTGTGCTTCAAGTAGTTAATTTTTTGTATTTTATTTATTCCTCTAATTATTTATTAATGTGCTTTATAGACATTTTGACGTATAACTTCAGTTCTAGGCTTTTAATAAATTGTTGCCACAACTCAACCCTCTGCGATTGTCCTCTGTGCTATTAGCAGTTGGTGTTAAAACATAACGCTTCTTTTGAGCTACGTGCAAACAGACGCAACAACTCCAACAAATGTTAAGCTAACAATGTTGGGAGTTGTTGCGTTCGCGTTGACATTGGCGAGCAAACGGATGCAACAACTCCCAACAATGTTGGGACCTGCAGCGCAAAAACATGCTATAACATGCAACAGGGTGTGTAAACAGACGCAACATGTAATATCCCACAATGAGAGAGTTGTTGGCGAACAATTTTGCGTTCGTTTACACAGGGCCTAATCTATGGTGAGTTAGCGAACTGCAAACTTACCTTTGTTTACAAGCTACAATCCAGGACAAAAGTCATTGGGGCAGTGCTGCAATATTCATATTTTTTCTAGCACTTCTAAGTTCCCTTTTAAACGGTGCATCTTTTTCAAAAATTTCTTGCAGTTCTCCCTCCCCCCACCCTTTACAAAGTTGAAACTCAAAAAAAATTCTGGATACAAGTGTCCAACAGTTTGTGGGGTGAGGGGAGGGGTTTGGATCTGTGTGAATTGGAAAACGCCCCAGAAATGCTAGTGTTCAGGAATGTAGCCATAATATATTAGTTTCAGTTTGTGAACAGTCCAGACGTATGAAAATTCTTGTTACTGTCAGTGTATTTTATAAGGTTGTTACTTAGAAGTAAATTTACTAGTAGCACCTAAAAAATTGGAGTTTCTTCATATCCTAAACTGTGATCATGGTGTGACATAAATGAGTCGAGATATTTTTTTTACCGAAAGAGAAATAGCAAGAAAGTTCTACAATCCACACTCTGCGCTATCGTGCAGTGAGTTTTTTTAAACAGAGTGAAAACAGTCTTTTGAAGCATTTGTCTTACAAGTATATAAAGTTGATTGTATTTCCTGACTCTACGAATGCTGATATATCCTTTATTTGGTTCTCTTGCAAGTCACTGAAAAAAAAAAATACAAAGGCAAGAAGGAACTCTTAGGAGTATACGTCTTACAGCGTGCAAGTACACTATTATACTAGCTATGAATTCTGGGTCGGTATGTGGTACCCCACTTTAGACTTTTCACCATCCCTTTGGCATTGTGAGAGTTTTCAAAGTAGTTTGATAGATAATCATCAAAATTCTCGCGCAGCCCTGTCCTGTATTCTAAATCCTTAATCATGTAAGTTATTAAGAAGCCCCACGATTTTAGAATTTTGCAACTCCGAAAATTGTTTTCAACATCATCCATCTTCAGTTGCTACATTAAGTGAGTACGAATGTTGCAAGAAGTAAGATTACAGATCGGGCAATGATATATTTTTTACATTATACGTTCTGAACTGTAAGAAGGTGTATTCTAAAAGTATCTTTTGACCAGTTTAAACCTCAAGATCTTTCGCACTTCTTCGAAACTTTGCTATTATAGCAACGATATTAACTTTAATTTCCTTTTTTTCTTATAGTCATACATACATACATACATACACACACACACACACACACACACACATACATACATACATACATACATACATACATACATACATACATACATACATACATACATACATACATACATACATACATACATACATTGTTTTAAGAGAAGTGAGGCCAGTGAGGTCTGGTACCGACCTCAATTGGTTATTATTCAAACGTCTGAAAAAACAAACAAACAAACAATGTTTCTAAACCCTCTAATCTTTGCAAGTGCCATTTCCCCATAAAAGGCCGTTGTAAAATATAGATTATTTATTTATTTCATTATTATTGTTTTTTGTGATTCTTGTGTCTGCTTTGGAAGGGGTGTACATTTTAAGAAAGAATACAGGTTTGGCATTATCCAGGATATCTTCTCTTAATGTGATACGAACATTTTCCATGACTTTCAGGAAAACTAGCCACAGTAGTCGCACAGAATAACGTTCAGTGCTATCTCTTGCCTTCTGTACTTTCAATTTTGATCCAAATCAAAGTGAACTCCCTTACACTAAGAGGAAAGAATGATCAGTTACCTAAGAGTACACTGAACGTCTTAGTGTGCGGCTACTGTGACTGGCGCCACCAAGACAAAATTGACGACGTGACCTTTTGATCTCGCAGAAGAAAGTTCATGAAGGAGTGATTGACGGAAGCGAAAATTGTTCAAAGTTTTGACTTGAGGTTACATGTTATTAAAAAACGCGGCTATGTTCGCGACAGCGTTACCTTAAAAGTTACAAACAAGGAGAGGATTGTAATGATAAATTTTGCTTTCGTTAAAAGAATTTTTCTATCAATATTACAATTTTGTACTTCACGTAGCTTATTGATTTCTTACAACCGGTTGATTGGCTAAAAAAAAAAACAATAATAACAACAACAACACCTTTCTTGGAATGTAGTGTTATTTCAATGTACTCTGCGGATTGGTCAAATTTTTTTTAGGTGGTCCCGGTTACAGTAGATGTTTACTAAAAGTACTATTTTCAATAGGATTTTTTTTCAAAGAATGCCATTATGGGAAAAACTTACTGTAAGGGCGTTAATTACTTAACCTTGTTGACACACTCCATCGAGTGAATAAAGACAATATTGTTATTATTAAGGCTTAGAATAAGGGTGCTTTGTCGTTAACAAAATTGAAGGGGGTGATATGGTGCTGCGTCGCCTATTTCCATTTCTTAAACGGTCTTTGCTATTTTAAACGGTTGATGCCCCCATTGGTAACCAAGCCTATACTCATAATAGATGTAATATATTTCCTGGATTAAGTTAAAAGTTTTGGAAAAGGCTAGGATCACCTGTTATTGATGTATAAGTTAAGAAAAACAGCTGTTTGCTAAATTTTTTGGAATTTTGGCGGTTCTGTGCGGTAGTGAAAATGTAGTTAAAGGGAGAGAGATAAGGATACGAAAGGTCTGGGTTTGACCCTGCGTTACGATTTTCTTTCTTTTTAATAGAAACTGACTCTCAAAAGTTTTCTAAGTGTCTTAAAAATGATAGCGACCATTTACGAAAGGGACAACTGCTGCTTCGTCATTCTCAAACAAATCATGGGTTATTTGCTTATGGACTCCTGCCTATGTATCATTCAGTACAGTCGTGCTCTTTGCAGCGGCAGTCTGTAACTACTTACATTGTGTCAAATCCACCAAATCGTCTAAATGTCCCATCGGCTATCGTCCGTAGGTTATTATGATGTGCAAAACTATGCAAAAGAAGTGAAAGTAAAGTTTGCCGAATTTTGTCATTTGTTTTCTGGAAAATTTGACGAAAGTTCGTTACGAATTTCGTTAAATCGCCAGCGAACTTTCGTTGAACAACATAAATTTCGCTGCTCTCTTGGCGAAATTTTCCTTCTGCAGAATTGAAATTTTGTTTTGCCGAAATTTCGCCAGAGCGAAAAATCGCATGGGCTCGCAATTGAAGTTAAGACGAACACAATGTAATGAGAACCTTTGTAGGGGTCGTTTTGTTCGCTGTGATTGCTAGTCAAGGCGTCTTTCTTTGTTAATTATGGCTCGTGACGAAAACGGACTAGTTACTGCTAACATTTTGCGCTCATTTAACAGCGCTCAAATGATCTTCAAACCCTCAAAAAATTCAGTGTGTCCAATATCATATCAGCGGGGGAATGATTTTGCTCTCACCACCCGAGCGTTGAGTTGTTTAACTTACAAATTGGTTAGTTTATCGCCAATTCCTTCCAACATTCCCGGTTGTATTTCAAACAAGTCGTTATGTGACAGGTCACTGCAAATAGGAAAAGACATTGAGCTTATAAATGGTTGCACAAAGTAAACTTTGGGATGTCAAACTGCTTTTAACACATGAATTTACTTACTGTTAACCTTCATCAACTCTACATTGCTTCAAGGATTTATAGCGTTATTATTATTCATTCAAAATATTTCGCCTTTTTCTGATTGGCTCCAATCCCGCCGCTAATTCTTCATAACCAACTGGCACTTACCATATTTGGAAGATGCTAGCAATATACCATCGATTCTATGGTATATTTGAATAGAAACGAGATTGATCGATGGTATGCTTGATTGGAAACGATCGAGGTTGGTAAGTGCTAAGGCAACAAACCATCGCCAAGCTGCCAACAAGCTGTTTATTCACGAGTGCTATTCGAAGACGAAATAGCTGATTTTTTGCTAAATCTAATCGGAAGAAATACAAAAATACGCTAAAGATATGGCTCGATGGATGTTATCTACTTTTGGAGGAGTATCTGCAAGGAAATCTTTGCCGAGAAATAGGCCAAAGATTTTAAGAAAGTGTAAGTGGAGGTATTCTCCTTCAGAACCCACTAGAAACATTGTGAATGAATAATGATGATGATAATAATAATAATAATGATTATAAAAGTAAATTATAATTATCATAAAAATTATCCCAGAATCCTTTAAGGCAATTTTTCTAAAAAGCTTTATAACTTCTACAATTTTATACGTAGAAGAATGACAGACCACAACAAAGTAACATTTGCCATAAAATATCTTCCCTTGTCACATGTAGGGTAATGACTTCATCGGTTACGTGACTATTGCCGAATTAGCTTTTTTCATTGCTGTGAAAAGATGTCATTTTCGAATTAAAAATAAATAGCATTTTTGAAGTTTTGGTTGTTTGGGGCATTTCAAAAATAACCAGTTGACGTCAGGCATTTAAAATTGAAGGGGACAATGAACATGAGCGAAAAAGTCGGGAGACTAGGCTGAGGGCTGTAGAGGGTCGACTTTTTATCACACGGCAGTGAAAATTTGTAGGAAAGTAATGTTCTACCTGATAGTTTTTGTAATGACCAAAAGAGGGGCATGACGACATCAGTCACGTGACGAGAGCGTTTTGAATATTTTAGTTCGTTTTTAAAGTACATTTTTTTCATAAGTTGGCAAGTTTTTGTTGTTTTCCTCTACAGATCTTTACACTGTATTGCCTCTGAGTAATTATTATTCCATTTTCAAAGCAGAAGCAAACGAAAACTAATCCAGAAGTTTAAAAAGTTGCGTAAATTGGCCGATATTGCAAGTTAAAATCGGAAAGGAGATGTACTTTTGAGACTTTTGTAGAAGCCTTTTCAACTAAACTGTTTGTTTGCCGAAATAAAGGTTCAACATTTGTTAATAAAGGAGAACTTTAGAACCCAAAAGGATCTATTTTGCGGCCATGTTATTTTTCTTCCTTCCGGGGAGAGTGGTCATGTAGCAGCTCTTCTAACCCTTAAAACGAAATGGTTTGTTACCGTAATCTAAAACAATGGAAATAATGACAAACAATGCTGTGTTAATGCCGTTTTCTCCGACCGATGAAAAGACACCTTACGAGCAGAGAGAGCCAGATCGTACGGTCATACGGCTCAGTCCGTAGCCGCGCGATCGATAGTTCATAAATTCCTCAAACGGCTTTGCATGGACCAAGCCTGAAAGAGTATCAATGGTTTTCTTGTGAGCTTTACGCTTAGCTTTGACCAGTTAAAGATTTAATTCAAACTTTAACTTCAAATTTGTTCACATTGAAATTTAGTTGCCAGGTATCAGAACAACCCTTGAGGCGGAACAAACCAGACTAAAGGGTTTTTTCTTTGAATTCTTCTTTTTTTGAATAGCCCTTTGTCTTTGAGCATAGTTTAAAATATCTGCTGTTTTTGTTACCAGAAAAGTAATACTCGCGGCACAATAGAGTTCTCTTCACTGGCTTATGCATATTCACCGTCTAACAGATAATGATAAAGTTATCTCCTGGCCAAAAAAATCAATTTTGAAGATCCAAAATTTGAGAAATATCATGTTTTTCAAAACGTTCGCAATACAGTCTCAGACAACCTTGTCCCCCCTGAAGACTTGCTCCTCCGTTCTCGTTTGGCCCGCCTCCTCCCTAGATCGCACCTCCCCGTAAAAAAACCTTGCTACAGGCCTGAAGCATATAATACTGGGCTAACCCGAAATGATTTACTTCCACGACACTATGAGTGGAAAACGTTCGGCCGATGCCATTTTAAGCAAAAATAGAGAGATTTAAAGTCACTTTTACGGCAAACGGTAAAACGCATCAGATTCAGATTGAGAAATTCCCAAAATGGAAACTTAGCAGATAAAAGGAGCTCAGAACAATTCGTATGGACAAAGCTGGCGCGAATCGACTGATTCCCCTGTATTTACAACAAGTACATGAAAAAAATTGTTCAAGTGTTTCAAATTCACGTATGCCATTTGCCGTAAACGTGACTCCTAGCCTCTCTAATACCACAAGTTTGGTATATCTGTGACAAATAGGCCATGAAAAATGTGCTCACAGGGATGTTAAATTTTGCATTGCTCTGAAAGTTCCACTCTCGATTCTCTCAAGGCGACAACGACGTAAACTTCTAGAGGGAGAAAAAAACAAAAAAACAACACAGTCATTTATACCTGGCTCTTAAGTGCGTTTCGCCTTTATACCATACACACGGCTAAAAGCCAGAAACGACTAAGAATTTTTATCAAATGCACCAAATTGAGTGAAGATTCAAAAGTACTGTTCAATAGGCTCTTTGCATGACTTTGATCAAGTGATCAACTTTCGGTAAACACGAAAACAGTTCACTTTTTGAAAAATTTGTTCGCACAAGCTGAAAGAACATATCAAAATTAGGTAACCTGAGAATTTTCAACAGTATATCTCAAAAGTAGCGATTGCAACTGCCGCCGAAAGCGAGAAGCATTTGTATGCGAAAAATAACTTTTGCCATCCAGTCACGCTTGCATGGTTTTCCATACAAATCCTTATAAATTCTAAAATTTTTAAACTGTTGTTATATCTTTCCCTTACGCATTTAAGAGTTCAAATTACCTGTTATGAATTAAAAGGAGTTTTGAGCCCAGTAATGCTTAAGAAATATTTCATGACAGTTTTGAAATTACAAGGATTTGTATGGAAACCAGGCAAGCGTGACTGGATGGCAAAAAAAGTTGTTTTTCTCAAACAAATGCTTCCAACTTTCTGCGGCAGTTGCAATCGCTGCTTTTGAGATACAGCTATTTCGAGAAAGGTTGTCGGAAAAAATGTGCACGCGACAATCCCGAAAGGTAATATGGGATATGATCAACACACAGTTCCTGACACTGCAGCTGTCGAACCTACTTTTGTTGCTTTCCTTAAGCACTCACAGACATATGTCCATGGCCTCTCCTGCCATTCTTTCAAATTTCCTTGAAAAACAGTGTACTAAAAAACAACCCACAATACTTTCGTGGTTGTCGCGTGCACTTTATCCGACAACCTTTCTCAAAATAGCTGCATACGGCTGAAAATCCTCAGGTTACCTAATTTTAATATGCTTTTCAACTTATGGTGGCAAAATTTTTCAAAAGTTAACTGTTTTCGTGTTTACCTAAAGTTGATCACGTGATCAAGTCATGCAAAGAGCCTATTGCGTTATATCCCTTACATACATTGAAACGTGTACTTTTTTGTGAAGTTGAAATTTATCAATTTTGCAACTCACAGAAAGTTCACTTTGTAAAAGCCAGCAAATATATCTGATGTCAGAACTGGTCCGATGTTGTTAAAGCCAAGATTCCTGGAGAGAGCAAATTAACGTCAATTTAATCTAAACCTTTCAAATTTAAAATTTCATGGGCAATTCTTACATTGCTGGTCCCTCGAGCGGGCAGTGCCTTATGAAGGAACAATTCTCACATCTGGCAAAGTCTGCTGCGTCCAATATCTTCTCGCATTTCGTCTCATTCGGGCTACACGGGTGAAAGACTGATCCCGGGCTTGAGACGGAAAGATTGGATATTGCGAGCTTTGTTGTTGGCAGTAACAAGTCTTTGGCCTCACAAAGTAGGTTCTAGGGTTGAAATCTACTCGGCGAGATGGAAATTCATGCTGATTTCTGACCAGGCCAAAGACTTAGTAAAAAATTGTTTTGAAGACGGGGGCTGTATGTTTCCTTTTCATCCGCTAGTTTACATCCTGGATCTTGAATAAATCGACTGTCAGTGAGTCGAGGAAAGTTTCATGTGATGATTTATGTGGGAGAAAGCGATAGTTTTACGGAGTAATTTGATGATGTTTCGCCCGTGTTAGGTGTGGAAATATTATGAGTGGTTTTGAGAAGTGTTGTGATTGCCGCGAAAGTCATTTATTGTGTGATTTACCGAAAGTGTTGACAGACAAATCTCAGGTACGGTTGAGCTCGTGTTTTTAGAATACTTTGTGCCGAGCATAAAAACGCTTTGTGAGTGTTAAGTTTAGGGGATTTTGTCTTAGAAAGCCTATTCTGTGCTCAAAGATTGTGGATTCTTAATCTGTTTTCGGCCGACACTGAGATATGGGCATCACGGTTTGACTGACTAAAAAAGATTACAATTTCTGGACGTCTCAAATGTTGTTTATTTCATCGCAAAATCCTGTTACTTCTGCGAGAGAACTTTACCGTCTATTGACAGCAATAATGCTGTCATTGTTTAGCCTTAGCTAGTGATTTTTAACTGCTTCCCATTCCTCTTAAATATCAAATTGTTAAAATACACTTGAAATTTCTTTAGCCGCGTTTTATCAAATCCAGTAAGATATATAGATCCTTAAATGGTCTCGTTATTTTTTGGTTCTGGCCATCCCAATTTAATGCTTCGTTTCCCATCGCCCGACTGATCCATTTTTATGGAAAATTTTCATGTGAAATTCAGCTTAATTTCTACAGTAGAAGAAATAGCTGCTTCCCTTGACAAAGGTGAGCAAACTGACTTCATGGACGTTTTTGAAAGCATTCGATTCGGGTTCGCACCAGCGCCTCCTAAATTAATGAAACTGCGCTTCTATGGCAAGCCATATACGCGGTGTTCTTAACAACTGGCTAACACAATGGCTTACATGTCGAAGCCAGTCAGTTGTCGTTGATGGGTGCAACTCCCCAGAAGTGCCAGATCTATCAGGTGTATCCCATGAGACAGTCCTCTGTCCCCTCTTGTTCCTCTTATACATTAACCACTTAGGAGAAAATTGTACGTCAAGGATGCGCCCTTTCGCTGATGATACTTTGATTTACAGCACTGTTGAGTCTTATAATAATGCCGCCAAGCTGCAGTCAGATCTAACAGCACGGCAACACTAGAAATGTTTGAATAAAGGTTGAATAAAAAAGATTTTGCATTTGCATTCCCGCTAATGTAGCTCCCACGTATTTTCCCTTGCGTTTGCATTTCCATTCGCTTTTGCATTTGGCGTTGCACATGTGAATCGATTTACCTTATTCTGGAATTCCGGATTAGCTTTTATCTAAAAGACTAGTTAACTGTTTGGAGAATAAAGTTTTAAGTTTACTAAGTTAAATAATATTGTTTACTATTTATTTTGTTTTTGTTCTTTTTTATTTATTTCATATAAAAGGAAGCATAAAACAAAATTTGGAAATAGTCTTGTTTTTTGGAGAATAAAATGTCAAAAAGCACAGGGAAGGTGTTCTCATCAGAAGCTAAATGTCGACTAAGAAATTCAGAAATAGTCCTCTGGCTTTCTTCGTAAAGAAAATCTACCAAAGACTTTTTTCTCTAGTTCAAAAACTACTTTATGCTAAGTGCCTTTTCTTCCTCGTCTAATACTGTTCCGTTTTCGCCGAGCACGTCCGCCATTTTTGGTGGTGTTGTTCGGAACACGAAGAGAGAGAAGAAAAGGCATCATTATTCTGCATTACTTCAATCGCTCTGCTTTCTGAAGCAGGGTGTTTGGAGTAGTTCCCCACTTCGTCAAAATAAAAATTTCTTATCAGGGAAATTTTAAGAAATTTAAAGCGTCCCTCAAGAATCTAAAAGGCTTCTCTTATATTGTATCGAATATTCCGATCATGTCAAAGTGCTGACAGAGGTAAGTAGCAGATGAGTCCTTTTTGCATTCAATACGTCTTGCTCTCATTCTATATGCTGTTCTGTATCACTTTAAAAAGCAGTTTCTATTTGTTTTGTTTTTCAATAATTGTTGCATATCTTAATTAAGTCAAAACTTACAGAAAGACCAGCTGTTTTAACTCCTTTAGAATGACTTGCAAATCGTCGTACGATAAACGATTCCTTTGAAGCTCACTGGAAAAAAAAAAAGGACCGAATCTTAAGGATTATTAATGTAATGCAAAAGTAAGATATACTTGTTTAGTCCAGTTGAGGAGAAAAAAGTAAATATGCATGACACCAGATAAGACGGAATGGTCCAAAGGTTAAAGTGATTTTACTTCACCTTTGAAATAGGTAGTAGAATACAGCGCACTATTATGCACTAATTCCATTGTCTTCTTTTTTTTGCCTCTTGCTATTTTATACTATTTATTAGTATCTGTTTCACGGTTCAAGTAATAGAGATGCTTCAGTAAAATTTTAATAGGCAGCGTATTTTTCAGAGCCAAAATATTCTTACATGATCGAAAAATCAGAAATTACCTCTTTTAGGCGTTACACCTTAGAATCTACACCATATCTTAGCTCACTTGTTGTAGCCAAGTTGTAATCCATAGTTCGACGAGGCATTTGTAGATTGGCTAATTGTATTTTTTATGTGTATTAATTGTATATTTAATGTTATTAGTTATTATTTATCTGTTATGTTGTTTTAGTAGAATTTTTAATGAATACATAGATTCTAGATCTAATTGCATTTAATTACTTACTTGTGTCTGAAAAGCCCTGTAAAGGGAGACTCAAAAAAACGTATGTATGGATGTATTTTCCTTATATCTTAACTCATTTTGATACTACATCTTTTGCTTTTTAACTATGTACTTACAGCCAGGTGACTGTTTTTGGAAGGTAAAACCCTCCTTGTAGAAGGTTTCTCTGAAGATAACTGGAAAATTACAAAATGTGTTATATTTTAAAAGTACTTGTTTTTATCATTATAGTTCATAGGTAGGTATGCAAAAAAAAAAAAAAAGCGAATATGCATGTAGTACAAGGTTGTTGTAGGATTTAAGCTAGTGTTGGCTTTTATATGCAAATAGGTTGCTTTTATGAAAGAAGCCACTCCGGCTCCCACCGTCCAGTAGAAATGAAAAACAAATATTTCAAAAATATATACAAATGTTTTTAATGGGAAATTATGATCCACGTGATTCACGTCCATTATTATAAGCCGCCATTTATTTCTACTACAACTCTATATACACAGTCAAAAGATTCGATTCTTACACAACCGTTAGTGATGTTAGTTTCCGGAAGGTGTTTGGTGGAATTAACCTCAAATGATTCTTGGAAAGGACTCTGAGAAGAGAAATGGAATATTAAAGCTGATTAATTAGTAAAGCGATTGTTTTCCTTTTACTGCAGTCAAAAATGGTCATTTTAAAGTTAGAGCCTGGGCAGTACTAAACCGCTTTTAATGGACGGGTTGTTGGGATGAGGAGAACTTTATGAATCTAAAATAAAAAGATACATTTTGCATTATACGCAGCCAAAAAATAAAGGTATTTCAAAAGAATGTGTTTTTATTGGTCATCCTTTAATAAACAAAATCACTGTTTCCGTAACATGGGGAAAAACGCAGTAATCGATCTCGGGTTAAGAAATATTAGGTGGGTTTACACTAGTCCCTAAAGTGCACTTGAAGTGCACTTGGGTTCAAGTGTGCTTCAAAAGCACTGGAAGTGCACTAAACCTTTTGGTAAAAAAATGGCGTTCACACTAAAGTTAAAGTGAGCAGTTTTGGCGGGATTACTAATCCGTCTAGAGGAGTTTAATTATTTAATAAGTACAAGGGAAAACGCTGCCGCACATGTGTTTAATCAAAACTTCTGCGAATACAAGAGCCGGAGAACTATTACAAAGGGTGATTTTCCGTTTATTGACAACAGTCTTCTTGAACAGTGTCAGAATAAAAGGATAACAATGCGGCAGCCACATGATTCTATCTAAGTAATCGAAGTAAGGGGAAACCTTCTTTGACGTTCTACAAGCTCTCCTTGCCAGAATTTTGAGCTCGTTGCTTCAAGTATTTAAAATCGTATTCAAGATTATTTATTCTTTCTATCGGCTGACCTTCTAACGCTTTCAACAAACCGATCTTTATACTAGTCGTAAATGTCACTCCATATCTCTCCTCTCTTTTTAGTCGATGAGCGCTTTAATCATTTTTACCTTGTCCCCACTCTCACGCTAGAGCTGTTCTGTTCCTTCCCTTTCGTATGCAATCTTCTGGCTCGCTTGAATCTTTTTGAGTAAATGTAGCCGGTGGCTTTCTGTATCTTTCATGAGACGCGAGGTTGACTTATATTATGACTGCTTATTGCTGCAGGTGGACACGAAAAAGTTGCTTGAACGAGTTGAAAAAAGAACAAACTGCATTCAACGAAACCCACAACAGGAAAATCGCTCTTGTGGAATATAGCTCATTTCGTTTCCACAGCCAGATCTTGCACTAACGTCCTTTCCGCTGTCGAATACAGTGAAAAACGGGAATCGTGAAATTTCTGAACTAGCTCATGAATCAGAACTGAGAAAAACCCACCTACATTTCGTGGTCAAAAGCATCCTCATTCACTAATCATTTCTCGCTTGCTCGCTTGCGAGAGTGAAATTAAATTTGTGGCTCGAAATGATTGACATTTTGATAATAAACTTCCGACGCTTTGATTGGATAAGTGCAGTCTCAAGGAAGGTTTTGTTCGTACTTGAGAGCGCACTTCGGCACTTTGAAGTTTTGAAGTTTCTGTGGCAACTAAGTACGACTAGTCAAGATCAGTCAAGTGAAAAAGGACCTGTTTACATACAAGTTAGTCTCAAGTGCACTTCAAATGCACTTCAAATGCACTCGAAAAGTCCAGTGTGAACCCACCTAATGCTTTTATGTAGACTTTGTTTTTAAATGGATTGACTTTGACATCCAAAAGACGTCAGTCGCCATGAAAGTAAAAAATACATGATTCCTACTGACCTTCAAATACATGAATTTAGATATTTACCGCATGAAAAAATACAGTCGGTATATTATGGGTTACAAAGCAACAAACAGCTTCTCAAGAAAACCTTGTACTTAGGTATCTTGATGTTTCGTTACATTCTGAAGAAATTTTATAATCAAAGTATTATGGTACTTACATTTTCTTCAGTAAAACAAGGTTTTCAAAAGCATCTTCTTCTATGGATTCTAGGGAATTTCCAGAGAGATTACTGCGAGAGGATAAAATCGAGTATATTAACAAATCGGGAATGTTACACAAACTTGATCCGAGCCACGCGAGGCTCTGCGATAGACGCAGTTCTAGTTTTTTCTTTAACTTCTCCATCACTGAAAGTTAACAATGAGAAGAAATGTTAAAAAAGTAGTTCCTGACAAGCCTTAAACTTTGCCGATGTTTACAGTTACATATAATGCGTCGCGAATGCATCGGTGCTAATTAGACGAGAAACAAGTAGTAAATTTGGTATCTCAAGACTAACCATTGCAGAAACTTACAGCATCACCGCATTTGAAGGAATCCTGTCTGGTACTTTGTGAGTACCATTGCATTTGACTACGACTCTTTCAAGGCATTTCACTCTGACTTTTTCGCAAAATGGAGAACATTTACAATTCTGTGGGCACTGTGTACTTTGGCAGGACACGGCAATCCAAAAAAACAAAATCATTCGACTTTGAAGCACACGCATCATCAGTGACAATCTAAGTAAAAAATGAGTTCATCAATATATCAAGCCTCTCTAGAGGAATACCTGTTTTATAATTGTCACAAAAAAAGTTTCGTCGCTAAATATTCATTTTCCACAGCTGTTGGGCTTTTCTTTTTAAAATTAATGAGCCCCTCATAAGGAAATATTTACTTAAACTTTATAGTTTTTGGATAAAGCAAGAAAGGCAGAGAAGACAAGCCTAATTTGAGCCAGAAAATAATCAGGCAATGTGTTTTACACCCATGACTGAAAAACTATTAATTAATTTAAAAGCTTTTCGTTGCCATCAAAAATTTAAAAAAATTTAAATGTAATAAAGTTGAGTGAGCTGGCTACTTTTTAACTCGGTAAAGTTAACTAGCTTGCTACACCCAGAAACTTCAATCTCTAAAAAGCTTTTTGAGGAATTTTTAGATTTACTTGAAAATTTACATTTTTTCTGTGAGTTTTACTTAGTTCTTAGAGGTGCTAATATTTTCAATAAAATTGTGAATTATTTCACATATACTTCACAAAATTGCCAATCTCAGAATTTTTTTCCAGTTTGGTGGGTTTGGTGGGTTTTAGTATTTGTAACATGTAAATATGGTTGATTTTCCTTTTGATTTTCATCATTATTCGACTGTTTTTAATTTTTTGTGTTAAACATTTTTTGCTTTGTGGTAGTACATCACACTACGGCTATTACGATAAAGTTACTTGGCTGCCCTCTAAACTATTGAAGGCCATCCTGTCTTTGAGGGTTCTTAGCCTTAATTGATGTTAACCAATACACCCCAATTAAAAATCCCTCGAGTTCCAGTTCTATTACATATGTAAGTGAAATTAGAGAGAGAGAGAGAGAGAGAGAGAAAAAAATGAATATGTACTTATTCACACCCGAGTCCAAGTTCGTTCCCAGGGTTCTCTCCTACCCGTCCCTACGGAGCGAGAGAGACGTGTAGGAGAGAAAACCTGGGAACGAGGTTGATGTAAGTCAGGCGGTTATCAGAATATGTTCAATGCAGTTTTGTGAAATGTGACCTTAAATATGCAGGTTATAATTTTGATGGTTTGTTTTTACTGATCGTGGTCTGAGAGTATTCTCATTTCTGGAATGTTTCGAAACCAAGACATCTTTTTCAGACTAAAGGAAAACGATTTCGGACGAAACGGCTTCTCGCGAAATGTTTTTTGAAGCAAATTAAGATTTGATGTACAAAAGCCTGATTATCCTGCTAATTTAAAAGCGGTCAATGTCCATGTACAATTTTTCTCCTATTCTCACTTCTGCAAAAAAGGAATATAAATGTCACAACATGACTGTCTTCTAAAAGGAATTAACTAGATTATTAATAAATGTGATGAGTCTAACACAAAAACTATAAGTAAATTGAAATACGCAATAGCATACTTTTAAGTTAATATCGCTTGGGACAGCAAGAGTTTGTAATTTTTGCAAACGTTAAATAAAATCACCAAAAAATTAGTTGCCACAGTAATTTATGCTTGCGAATTTTGCTTAACGTTTTTGGAAAAACGTTCTAACATCCGCAGTTTCCAAAACGGCATTAATTGAGCACCGAAAATAGTAATGGTAGACGACTTAAGGTACAGCAATCTGCCGATTGTGAAGCCCAGTGTGGTTCGGTTGTTAATGGACTGTTAATTTTTTTGGAGACGTAATTTTTTTTGAATTTTTTCGTTTTATCTTCCTTTTAAAACAACAGCTTAGGTCTCATCCATCATTGAGCTTTCGTAACAGAAACGTTCGAATTCAGCTGCCCGTTCACACTTCTATATTGTCGTTTACAAGAGTTGCCAAATTTAGCGTGGGCATTTACGGCTAACTTCTAACTTTGTCAATTTATATCATCTTCATTTCTCTTTTATTTTGTTTATTGACACGCGGATATGTATCGTGGAGTATTCCACTCTAAGCCAACACTTACACGGAACAATTACCAAGAAGGTCACGGAGCTACATGTAGTTAACCTTTAAAGTAAAAACAATTGTGTAGCACTGAAGTATATTTCTCGTCAATTTGATTACAAAATCTTGTTTATATCATCTTATCATGATGATTATATATTTTCTTGAACCTTGTTCTTGTTTTATAATATACCACTGTACTCATTTTACGGTATACGTTTAAGATCACCCGTGATTGCTTTTTATATCTGTACTCGTCCCACTTGAATTTCTTTGACTATCTAGCGAATATTTGTTTGGAAAAAGTGTACCTGATCACCTACCACGAGCAATTTAAAGGAAACAAAGGTGAGACTTGAATCCGAGACAAACGTTAAATAAAATAATAAATAAATAAATAAAAAGAAAACCTTTTTATAGTTAGAGTATGGCAACTTTAATATGAGTTAGCAAAAATAACACAATTCTCTGCAAGATACAGAACAGTGCTCAATGATTGTAGGATATGATTATCATTTATTACTTGTGCTTTTCCCTACCTTGCATTGAAATTCTCTTGATGGTTCTGACGTGATACTAAAGAGCACTACATTTCAAAAAACGTTCCAAATATATAGTAGTCTTGAAGGTTCGCAACTATAAGTCATAACTAAAAAAATATATATGATTTTTTGTTGTAATTGAGACTGTTACTTTATAAGCTGTTAAAATCGAAGTGAAAAGATTACTCCAAGATGCATTTTTAAGAATTTCAGTGAAGCATTCCGATTCCTTATGCACTGGCTAGAGCAAGCAAAATCTTTTCACCTTTGAGCACTATCATCTTGCCCTTTGGTAGTTGCGACCGTTTCGAAGGTTATATGGTCTATTAACGTGTTGCATGATCTCGCAGACAGCAACGAGGCTTAAGTGGAACAAAGTGGTTGATAATTGGCCTGTTTACTGAGTCAAAATCTTGGTCTAAGAGGAATTTGAGTAGGGGTTCGAACCTGGTAATGCTTTTTCAAAATTGAGCTTTATCAGGTCAAATTTGGCAAAATGATTCTAGAAGCAGATTATACGTAATACATGTGTTCTTTAAGAGAAAAGGTAAACAGGTAAAAAAAAGGAACCATTAACTGACAGTGACAGGATTCATTATGGGTTGGAAGGGCCATTTGGTGATTGGCAGAAATTTAGGTCCTCGACACAATTGTTTATCACTTTCTTTTGGATAAAATCATGCCAAAGTTCACAAAATTATTTAATTAGTATCTGCTTCTAGTGACTCCCTTTACCTTAACTTAGAACAAAAGTAGCTGAATCAAAGTCAGTGCTATACCGACAAACTACAACCGACTTATTGAAGAACTCAAATGAAACTAACGCTAAATGGCTGGCCTCCCGAAAAAAAAAAGACGAGCAATACAGTTACAGGTTTAACAATGCATGACAAAAATACGGATCGAAACGCACCACTCGCATTTATCTAGTCTTCACAGCCAGTAACATCACTGGTTATTTGACATACAGCCAGTATCACGGCGAGATCATTCTGGTTAACCGCAGCCCGGCCCTATTCAGCGCTACACTCCGCAGGACACGATCATATTTAACCTACTGATGGCAACTATGGACCTACTCAGCATTTGGACCTACTCAACCTCTGTTTGACTTTGACTTACTTTCAGTACAACGGAAAACACTACAAACAGTTACACAGTACAGCTATGGGCTCTTCAGTTTCTGTTGTTGTAGCAGAAATTGTTATGCAAAACATTGAGGAACAAGCCCTAGCTACCTACGCGCGAACTATACTTCTTTGGTTACGTTACATTGACTACGCATTCACTGCTTTACACAAAGACGAAATAGACGATTTTCACGAAAACCTTTACAGATAGAAAGCGGACATACAATTTACCAAGGAGATCGAGTAAAATGGTAAAATACCTTTTCTAGACTGCTTGGTCACTGGCGACAACAACAATTTACAGAAAACCAAGACATACCGACCGATTACTAGACCAGCCATCGTACAACCCGGCGACTTCTCAGACGGCTACGACTATATGGACTTTGACGAGACGAGCGCAACTAGTTTGCGACTCACCTGACAGCCTACAAGACGAGACTGACTTCCTAAACAACGTTTTTAGTGAAAACGACTGATTCTATCGCACGGGTACTGACAACCTTCCAATACACGAGTTACACACAAAACGATAACCACCTACGACTACTACTTACTAATGTCAAGGACAAAGACAAACCGGAGGATAGACAGGGAGCAGTATATACAAGATCAAATGCTGCAACTGCAAGGCTATGGCGCGTTATTAGGGTCAAAATTAATAATGCAAACTTTTTTTTTAGATGACTTTCGAATTGCAAGTCTTGTGGCATGATTAATTGCTAATGTAGTTTCTTTGGACATTTTTTGCGAAAACTTGCTTCTTTCTGCACGTTCCAAGGCGTACAAGTGTTTTTCTTTACCATTACTTTCCAATTGCAACTCTTGTTACATGGTTAATTGCCAATTAAGTTTTAAGTTTTAAGTTTTTTAAGTATCACGTGACATTTCAAGACTGGAACGACTGGTTGATTTTTTGCAGAAAATTTGCGTGGTAAGTTTATTCGCAGAAAATTTGCGGTAAGACATGTATTTCAATAGTAATTCGATGCTGGTATTTTTTATCGCTTGCGGCTGTCTTACGTTGATGTATTAGAAACAGAGCTTTATAAAGAATGTTTATGGTAAGAGTTTTGATATTTCGGAAATAATCTTGCGTGTAAAGTCATTCTTATGTTCGGAAAATAGCCTGCGTATGTTTATGTCTCAAGCCAAGAAACGTGCAGAAAGAAGTAAGTTTTCGCAGAAAATGTGAAGAAAAACTTAATTGGCAATTAACCATGTAACAAGAGTTGCTATTGGAAAGTAATGGTAAAGAAAAACACTTGTACGCCATGGAACGTGCAGAAAGAAGCAAGTTTTCGCAAAAAATGTTAAAAGAAACTACATTAGCAATTGATCATGCCACAAGAGTTGCAATTCGAAAGTCATCTTAAAAAAAAGTTTGCATTATTAATTTTGACCCTAATAACGCGCCATACAAGGCTTCTTACATTGGTGAAACCGGCAGAAACCTTGGCGCCCGACTGACCGAACACAAACAAGCGACGAGAACTGGTGACGTCAACAATTACTGAGCACCATTTACAGACGAAAGATCAACTTGACTGGGACTCTGCGATATGTATTACGTATTCTATAGACTATTATCAAAGACTCACTTTAGAAAGCTGGTTTACTAACTTAGAACAAACACCACTGAATCGTAGTCAACAGTTAGGCACGGTTCAAAGGACTCAATGACGGAATCAAGAAAAACTAACTACGAGAGATTGATTGGACAACTGACAATTTGATTAACAATAAACGACTTTTCAGTGGCGACAACGGACGGATCGAAACAAACCAATGACATTACGAGTCTTCATAGCCAATAACATCACCACAGATCAGATTCCTGAGCCATTGTCTTCGGCGCCCCCAGAAGGGCCTTATTTCTAAATACGCTCTGTACCACCCGACACATGGTAAACCAAGACCTGGTTGGGCTTACGTTAGTGATCTGATGTGCTTATATGTACTATTCAACCAATATGTAACAAAAATAATCAATCCTGAAAATTTCCCCTTCGTCACGAAATTCGTTCTTTCAATTGGCGGAGGACCGCAAAGCTTGGGAGCACATGGAGCTCAACTGTTGGCACCACTGGGGACCCCCATGAGCGCCTCAGCCGAAGAGAGAGAACCAGGCTTTTCCGGGGCGGAAGAAGTAAACTGAGCACCCGAGAAGGAAATATTAGAAAAAAAGAGCATGTCTCCCAGTGATTGCTTACTTATAACTCATTGGTGATCGGTGCAAATTTCAGAGTATGTTCAATAGATATCACACAGCATCGAAGGGAGCCCGGGAGGAGACGTAAAATTTGTGTAATGGGATTGGGTGGCTGTCCAGGTAGCGTATTACATTTTGGTGATTTAGGTTTTTCTGCAAAGAGGCGAAGCTAATCTTGATATTCGCTTACCTTTTGGTTCCTTCTCGCAAATACTTTTAATTAAGGGTTACCAAATTATATGGGCGATTTCTGCCAAATAATAAAAAGAAGGGATAGTAGTAAAGTAACCAGGAATTCAACTGAAAGATTTTCGAATTCATCCCCCCGGTCTGCAACCAGAAAGTCTCTATTGCCTCTTAATATTCAAGCTGGGAGCAATTGAAGAGCAAGAGTAGGAGCACTCGCCTGCCATGTCATCGCCATGGTTTCGAATCGCGACACGTGGGTTGGTCTATTTTCTTGATTTGTGAGGCATTTCTTCCATTACAACGGTCTATCCCAACTTATTCACTTTCTATTTATTTATCTTCCTTATAACTAGGTCATCCTAAAATGGATTGATTGGGATGAGCACGTGCAAGCAACGTGAAAGAGCTGTTACGGAACAACACAAATAATAAGAAAACTGAAGAACTTTGCCGGTTATAGAGTTAGAAAGCACTTAGTGGAGTCACTGGTGAAAACTCGACTATTGTGACACTGTCTAATACCCTTTGCTAGAATTTCAACTAAAACGTTTCCAACGTTTCCAGCCAGTAGCTGCTACTTTTGTCCTGAGTAGGTATGCAAATTATATTAACGACATTGTTAAGATAGGGTGGTTACCAATAAGACAGCGAAGAGACTTCCACGTTCTCAGACTTGTTCACAAGGCTTTACACTCCCCCAGCTGGCCGTCTTACGTATCATAAGATACAGTTAAACATCTGCGATCTTTGCGGTCAGCAGCAGCAACAAGGTTAATGGAGAAGGACACCTTTGAAGGCTCTTCTGCCAAGTTATTTAATGTTCTTCTGGCAAATGTTAGAAACTGTAGTGATTTCAAAGTACACTGTAGGGAAGTTAATACCTACCTGTTAAGTAACATTTGTAAATAGTTTGTAAATTGAAGATAGGATTGTATTACTATGACTAATCTCTGTTACATTTTTACAATATCCGATACTATTGCTTTTTATACTGTAGATTTCATATTTTAGTTTTGCAGTATATTGTAGATGTCATGCTTTATATTGTAGCGTTTTAACAGGTGAAGAGCCACTAGGTGGACACACTGTTATTAAGCCATTGTTATTATTATTATTTGAACCATCTTTTAAATTGCATGAAGAACATTTTACTTTTCACCTACAGTACAAACATTCTGGTACGTTCGCTAACCGTAGATGTAAAGGGAACATTCTTACCCCCAAAATCCGAAAATGTGCGACTCTTTTCTAGTAACTGTATTTAAAATGCAACTCCACTGATTGTTGTCAATCCAGCCACCCCATCCAGCGGCACATCCCCATTAGCCTCTTATAAGAAAGTATCCCCTCGGGGTTTCGACCCATTTTTGGCAACTATGTAGAACTTCAGAGGGAAGTTAATACAAAGAATAAAGATAAAGATAACATAACATAATATGAATCTTGTGTTCAAAACTCGGGCCATAGACACAATGCTATGAGCCAATTCCACAGAGTATGATATTTGAATACGCATGTCATTTTTAATTATTACCACCTTTCTTAGCTGAAAATCGTTTAAACAATGAAAAATATTTATCATCCTTCGTTATATATTTCTTTCCCTAATTTTATTAAATTATTATTTGCTTGTTTTATTCATTTTTAATAACAAGTTGTAAAAGACAATTTCCAACGAGTTGTTAAACAGACAAACTGTGAAAACACTATAAGGGAATCATCATGGGCCGAATTAATCAATTACAACAAGTTAAAGCAAAAATCTGTCTTAAAGTTCACTAAAAAATGTTTCTTCCAGTTGGGTTTGAAGTCACATCTCTATCAATTGAACTCCTGGATCAAAGGCTGCCTTAGCGCGTCATGTGGTCGCAATCTTCGACCAAAGAAAGTCAGACGGCAAAAGAAGCTGGCAATCCGTCTTTTGATATGAAAAAGTCCATTGTAAATGAAATGAGTGCAAATAAACAGACTTGGAAACATCGTTTTGCGGAAATACGATGCGTAGACAACCCCTTTACCTGAAAAATATAAAGGAAATCATGGATTTTCTTTGTGTCGCAGTTTTGAAACTATTGAAAAGATTGCCGGGATACTTATGGCTATATTTAGCAAAACTTTTCCTTTCAGATAAAGGGAAATGAAGGTGACATATATATATATCTTGTGGATATATGTTGCGAACTTATAAAATAAAGTAGTATATAGTCCACTCTCCTCTGTTCTCGGACATCTTTACAGTGGCGGATCCAGGGGGAGGGTCCGGGAGGTCCGGACTCCCTTTTTCAGACCTGACGCTTGTTTGAGACTGAAATTCTTACATCGACAGGATCGTAAATCACTTTTAAACTGGCTCAATTTTTTTAAATGAAACGCTCATAGCATTTTGCCAATAAACTTAAATCCAGGGATGACTCAAAAATTTCATTTTGTGGGTACCTCCTTAGTCTCCTATGATCAGTTCGCCTCTGCTCGCAAAGCAGCATTTACCGCGCCAACGGCGACCGGCGTTCACAGATTGAGGAACACGTGGTCGTCTCTGCTTTCTCTCCTGGTCGACAATTAACGAGTAGAATTCAAGTACACGGTAAGGGGCCAAGGAGCATTTATACCGTGCAACCGTGACTGGTCAGAGGGGGTGTGGGGGAGAAGCAATTTGCCACAAAAAAGTTAACAGTCCTTTCTGTAAGTTAGGACCCCCAATCAAAAATTCCTGGATCCGCCCCTGCTTTAGCACCGGCACTAAGTGATGTACTACTTACAACGAGTCAAATAAAAGGACAAAGAAATCAGGGACCAACCCTGGGTGCTCGTTTACTAAGGCTGCCGTCCTATAGAGGTGCCCGCTGAGAAATAGTTGACTGTATTACAGTGAAAAAAATACGAACCAATTTTGCCCCAGAAAACATTTCTTCAAACACCGTAACAACCTTCCTATTGCTTTGACTGTCAAGAAAAGTTTCGTTGTAAAAGAATGTTTAAAAGCAGATGTTACCTAAAGCGACCAGGATTATAGAACTGTTGAGGACGACGAAAAGGATGTTTATGATTAACGAATCATTTCCTTGATGATCTTTTGTCCCATCACAAGTGCTGTAAATTGCTCCAAGACAAACGTCAAAGAAAATACCCCATAGCACAACGTTCTGTAGTAAGTCCTCGAACTTGGTCTTTATCGGACGGAATAAGGTATAGGTCACACCAAATACACTCACAACCAGCAAAGTCAGTCCAATCTGAAATACACGCTCCGAACCAAAAAGGAAAATTAACGAGATTAGTATCAGTTTGCGGTACATTTCGGTTACCTCCCAAAACCAAAATTCGTTCTTATGTTTTCAAAAAAGACTTTTAATCCAAACGCAAGTTCTTCATTTCGCTGCGATTTTTGGTATTTGTAAATAAGAAAGAGCATCAAAATAGGAAATCCAACAGGATACACGGAAAACACTGCGGCAACTGGCCAGAAGATCGTGTGTTGGGCAGTAAAGCACTGGAGGGAGTAGTCAGCTTTCAGAAGAGAGATACATTGGTTCTTGTGATCCGTGAAGCAATGCGTCACGCATGCGCCTGGGAGGGGAATGATTTGGATGATTGTTTTACTTGTCACTGGGTATGAAGCCAGCAAAAATAGGAAAATGTTCCGGTAACAGGATTTCTTCAAGCACGAAACTTCACACAGCTTTTCGCCATTGGACCAATCCTTCCTCTTGTTGAGTCGTCTTTTTTTCAGAAAGATGTAAGCCAGAATAATAGAAACCACAAAAAAATTAACTGAAAGAACGAGAATGAACTTCAAATATGCATTTAGTCGCAGTTGAGAATTGATACAGCTTATCGGAGCAAATTGAAAAATATTTCCTTCAAACACCTTCAGAAATTGTCCCATTGGGATCAAAGCTACTGGCCATTTCACTCTCACCAATGCGGTAAAGATACCGGATATAACTTGATAAAATCCTATAACGATTTTAAAACACGACATAATGACATCTGTGAGAGTACGATTATTGTCAGTTTGTTTCGAGTTGCCCCAAAAAATCATTAGGAAGACAATAACAAACAAAGCCACAACCACAAAGGATGAGACGCTAGCAACTGCAAGACTCGGACATTTTATGCACCTGTTAAATCTTAGGTAGTAGCCACTTCTGCAAATAGCACACAAGTTTCCCTGGTATCCCTTATTGCAATCTGAGTCTATTCTACCCTTGCAAGACCCAGCATACGGACATTTCACTGGCTTTGGAAGAGGCATGATAAATCTGGAGTAGTTCTGATTGTAACCAGCTTCGTGGATGTTTTGCACGAAATTCTTATAAAAAAAGCTGTTACTTTGATTGGTCCACTTCCAGTAATAGTGAGGTGCAAGTATTGCTGTGTCGTTGACGCAATTGATGCCGTGAGCTGGACATTCTGAACATGGACCAAAACGATCCAAGCGGTAAAACCCTTCAAAGCATCTGCAAGCACGATAAACAGCGGATTCATTGGAAAGCGTACCTACAAAAAGATAGTAACATTTTCCGTTAAAATATATTCCTGCTGACAGAAACTAGAGTAATATCACAGCGTGACATTACAATGCTTAGGGGTAGGAGGTCACCCGGCTTAAAAATAGACGATTTACATCTGATAGTGACAATGAAATTAACATTATGTTTGCGTTGACAAACAAATAGTATATTTAAGGTTTTAGTTGTGTGGTGCATTTAAAAACAACTAGTTGACGTCCGGCATTTAAAATTTAAGTGGGTAATGAATATGAGCGAAAAAGTCGGGAGAATAGGCCGAGGGCTGTAGAGATTCAACTTTGGGCTGTAGAGATTCAACTTTTAATAACACGGCAGAGAAAATTTGCGGGAAAGTAATGTTTTGCCTGATAATTTTTTCATGACCAAAAGAGAGACATGACATGACGTCATCAGTCTTGTGATCAAAGCGTTTTCAATGTTTTAGTTCGTTTTTAAAGTACCTTTTTTGTCAGAAATTGGCACGTTTTCGCGTTTTTTCTCAACACTTCTTTACACTGTATTGTCTCTGAGTAATTATTATTCCATTTTCAAAGCAGAATCAAACGAAAACTGAGACAGAAGTTTAAAAGCTGCGTAAATTGACGGATATTGCGAGTTAAAGTCGAAAAAGAGACCTACTCTTGGGACTTTTGTAAAATCCTTTTTCAACTTAACTGTTTGTTTGCCGAAAAAAAGTGTTCAACGTTGTTAATAAAGGAGAACGTTGGCCATATTGTTTTTCTTCATTCCGGGGAGAGGGGTCATGTAGCAACTCTTCTAATCCTAAAAGCCAAATAATTTGCTACGCTAAAACAATGGAAATAATGATGAACAATTTTGTGTTAATGTTTTCCCCGACCGATGAAAAGACACCTTACGAGCAGGGAGAGAATCGTATGGTCATCTCGTTCAGTCGGTAGCCGCGCGACCGATAGTTCATAAATTTCCTAAACGTTCCCTGGCATGGACCAAGCATGAAAGAGTATTAATGGGTTTATTGTGAGCTTTACGTCTATCTTCGATCACTTAAAAGATTTAATCCTACACGGAAATTTAAAAACAACGAAAACGTCATCCTTGAAAACTGTCAATCACTATAGAGAAAGAATATACATCCCCGGTATACATCTCTTTTAAACTGGAAGGAAAGGGTCAAAGAAGTAAATTGTACATTGCAATACGTCTGTAAATAACAAAGTTTGGATGTGTTTCGTCTAGTCAATACGTTAATGGTCCAAATTGTAATGATTAATGTTTCCTACCGTACGGACATGCCCAACAGTCCGAAGCACGTTTACCAGGATGTCGCTCTATTGATACGTAGGTTCCAATGCTACAGTACTTGCAGGTTATCTGTCCCATTTGGTCCTGGTAAAAACCTCCTTAAGATATGATAGCAATGAAATCATTTATTAAAACGTATTTCTTTATAAATATGTGCTGCAATATAATGGTGTCCTTGGAAAGCGATACTGGGTGGGACGTCACCTGTTTGTGCCTGCGATAAATACATTAGTGTAGCTGCATCTAACGCCCTCAATTTGTTTTTTCAGTTGAATCGTTAGGGGCGAAGTGTTTTTCAGAACAGCCGCTTAAGGAAAATTATTCGACATTAGATTCACATACAAACACTGTTGCAGTAATTTCTCACGCGGTTGCCTACTCGTCAAAAGGGCTTCCAAAACCGTGCATGATAAGGTTTTTTTCTCTTTTAACAGCGGCAGGCTTAGCTTAGTTGGTAGAGCCTTTGACTGCAGAGTGGGAGGTCGTGGGTTCGATCTCTGGGGCAGGATGAATACTCGGGTTCTTAAGTAAACTGAAAAATGAAGGTGCTGCCTTTGTCCTCCCTGTAAACCGCTAACAAGTACGTAGTACACGTATTGTATTTCATAGCAATGTAATCTCACTTACCAGCAGGGCACGCCTTGCAAGAGTCATCCAGAGATTTCAATCCGTCTTTGCAAAACGTACAATTCCAGCACATTGAGTTTAAATAATGAGAATAGGGACATGGATGGCATATAAACCCTGATTGTCTAAAGCTCTTTAAATCATAAGCCACTTCATCCTTTACAATGGTGTAAAAAGTGGTGGAAGGAGCACAGTCCCTGAAATAAGAGAATAAAAGAGATCAGAAAATTCTCTGTCGAAAAAACCACGAGTAGGGTTTGATTGTAGAGGCTAATGAATACAGTTTGGAATATGACACATTTCAAGCCATAATAGTCAGGGTTTCATGTTCTTTAGTTACTGCACTCCCCTTCCCCGCCTCCCCCGCAAAAAATAAAAAATAAAACGCGAATTCTGAAATTCAAAAGCCAACTGACGTTTGCGTTTTTCTCTGCCGTATATAATCTAAATGGACCTCTCAAGAAACAGAAGATTACTTTAGCACGTTTAAACGGTCATTGTTTGTGATTGGTGGATTTTGATCTGTTTTGTGTGTTTCTCTGTTTCAAGGTTCGTTGTTTGTGATCGTAACGATGATTGACGGCAGCAAAAAACGCAGTTGTGAAGGCGGCACTATTCCCCTTTCGTAAACGGTTCTTACCAATTTTAACGGTCGATGCCAGAGAGAGAGAGAGAGAGAGAGAGAGAGAGAGAGAGAGCGAGAGATATTACGAATAGTCCGAGTTCCTGGTTCGACCCAGGGTTGCGATTTCTTTCCTTTTGAATAGCAAAACCCTCAAAAATAGGTCAAAAATTTTCTGTGTCTTACGAAAGGGACAACTACCCGAGGGCGGCATAAAAACTTCAGAATTCGCGTGTTTTTGAAAAGCACAGTAACGATTGGGCTCTATAGAAGGGAGCAGATAGAGAAACTTGGTTCTATTAACTAAGTCTGTTAAGCTATGGAATCGGCTTTGGGCACTGGGGATGTCTAGTTTTTGAAGCAGCTTGAATTGTTACGCGTCGGTCTTGCCCTCTACAAGCGTCCCGTCCCGTGTGTATACAGATGAATAAAACTCGATATAGACACGCTAACCATAACCAATTCTTAAATGGGTAATTGACCAGTTAAAGCTCGCTTTAGTTTTGTTAAGTTAATAAGTAATAATTTAATTAGTAAGTAAAATAAAAAAAACAACTTTCTTGCCGGGTTACTAAAACGATACATGGAATAATCAAACATGCTCACATAGCTATATCTGTCACACACGTGACTGGCATTTATTTATTAAAGAGAACATGGTTCATATCGATACAAATCCCGGAGGAGTACTCCCTTATATTTGCCTTGTAAGTATGTGCCGCCCCAAAGGGTGTGGCTTTTGCGCCGTTTTTCTCTGAAAACGGAAATAGGCTTTACCTATTGAGGTCTGAATTCGGTTATGGCTTTCAAGGGAATACGGAAGTGCACAAACGTATTAATTTGTCGTTTCAATTCCAAATGAATAAGAAAGAAAGAGTAATATGCAATTTCCAAATGGATTTTAAGAAATCTTTTTGTTGGCGTTCTAATCTAAGTAATAATAACATAATTTCTGCCTACGCCAGGTCTGACAACGGAAATGGATTTTTAGAGGCCAGGTCTAAAATCAGGTGTGGAAAATGACAATTTTTTTGGTCTGAAAAAGGGTCAGGATTTGGAGAACCGGCGGCACACTCCCACCGCGAATTCCCAGGAATACCCCGCGCAGGACAGAGATACATACAGTACTGACGAGAATTCCAGATGGGGTGGAAATGACAGCCGATGAAGATTGCTACATGTTACAGACCTGGAACAAAAATATATTCTCACTTATACAGTCGAACCTCTCTAACACGGACACCGAAGGGACAGAGAAAAGTATCCGTGTTAGAAAGGTGTCCGTATAAAAGAGGTCACTACAATGACGTCACTTTTATGACTCCACTTACAGTTTTAAGTATTCAGTAACTAAAACCAGGCTCACACTCATCTTTAAACCGCATTTAAATTTATTAATTCACAGTACAAAGACAGTAGCATTCAAAATTGTACATCTCAGCAACAAAGTGGACAAATCACTTTTAAAACGAAACGAGCTACAGGGCAATGCTGCAAATAAAAAGTTGTAAAACGTAAAGCACAATTCTGAAAGCATCTTGCGTTATTTTGCAAGTCAGTAAACAGTACTGAGTACAAAATGTGATAGAAAAGATCTTTATGCTTTCTGTAGTTATTTAAAAAAGTCGGTTATCTTCCTCTGTACACCTTTTGCAAATCGTTGTTTGATATACTCAGCGACTGGGCTTTTGAAAACACCTTGCATAGCTAATCAGCCAGACGGGATTCACCCTGTGCGGATTCACTTGATTGGGATTCGGGAACGACCTGATCACCGCAGTGTTACATTTAAGTTTATATGAATTTTTACTCTGGGGCCGAGATTCAGTGTCCGTTGTCCGTATTACAGACACCGTATTTTATAGTTTTTTTTTTTAAAGAAAATATATGAGAATTTTTTCGGGAAATTGGAAAGTGTCCGTAACAGAGGTGTGTCCGTATAAGAGAGGTGTCGGTACAGAGAGGTTCGACTGTACGTGTATAGTGAACGACCATGAATAAAGGTGTTGCCTTTGTAGATTGCCAGTTATACTCGCGATGTCGTTTGTGTTTTTTTTTTTAATTCCTTGTTGATCGATATTTCTGTTGATTTGTCTAAGGAAATATTTGTATGTTATTTGGTATCTTATCCAAACAAAGTTTATTGTTTGTATCACTTAATTTTATTATTTTCACTTACACTTTGGATGCGTTTGTTAATAAATCAAGCAGATCATTTGGCAATGTTGTTAACGGGTTGTCGAAAAGTGTCCTGGAAGAAAAATGTTCAATTTGATAATTCTAAGTAACACGAAAAAAATCTAGTAACAATTATGAGCAACAGCCTGACAATCTATAACAAAGCAACTGATCTAATGATTGGGAATTCATGTGTATCCAAAGGTCACGTTTATTAAGTGATAGTATCACTCCATTTAGTGGAGCAGTTAGAGCAATGATTCGAAAGCCCCTAGCTCGGGTTCCGCCCTGGTCGCTTGCTGGATTTTTTCTCGGTAGCCCGGAGTTGAAATCCTCGACCACCCTTGTAAATAGCAACTGGTTCGCCTCCTACCGGCTGGGATTCTAAAACATATTTTGTTCCATTTGAATTATTGTTTCATTATCCCTGAAAAACCCATAAGAGGAAAAGATAATTAAGTAGTTATAATAATAATAATAATAATAATAATAATAATTAGTAGTAGTAGTAGTAGTAGTAGTAGTATAAGTATCCATCAATTCAGTGAGTGGCAGGGTGGACGTTACCATCTCTTGCATTGTTTAGAGGTTAGTTTGCAATAAATTCTTCCCATCCTTCGAACGTATAATTCACGTGACACTCGACAGAGGTCCCTCAGTCGAGTCACACTAAATAATTATGGCAACTTTACATGTCCCGTACCTGAATGCGCTGCCGACACACGGTACGGATTCATCATCACTTCCAAAATGTCGGAAACACTTGGTTAACAGTTTGCCTTCTTTTTTTGTTCAAGTTTTCTCCGTACTTAGATTCATGTCCGAGTTTTCCGATACACTTGGTATCATGTTTAAAGCTGCATTTCAGGTGATGAACTGTAGTTTACAGCCAAGTAATTCAAGTTGAAAAATTAATGTGTAATGTATCCTTTACAACAACCTGCATAAATTGTACGTGAAACTTTCACTTTTGATCATCACTTACAATGTACTAAGGGTTTGAAGGCCGTAAAAAGCTTTTTTTCCGAAGCGCTTGATCTCATTGTTGTGAAGAAACCTACGACGACAAATGTAAATAATAAAGTTATAAATATATGAAAATCATCACATGGATAATAATAGGAAAGAAAATCACCGCAGTTTAATGTCGCTGTTCCGTTACTATTCATGTTAAACGCGAAGTAACTTAATTATAAAACAAATAATGACAAGCTAGCATTAATGAGGGAGCACTGCCTTGCGCTAGGATAGCCTGTGGGACTTAACTCACTTATCTCCCCAGCACTACGAGCTGAATGCAATACAGCACGTGCTGGATCGGACAAGAGTATCCGTTTGCAGGCGATATTAAACGGTAACGCGGTTAACAAGCTTAGGGGAAGTCGCCAACAGTCAACAGTCCGAGGACCAGCGACCAAGAACTTTTGCCAATCTGGCAAGCCGGGGGCGGCTGCAACGGAGGCCGCACTGATGCGAAGGCTATGCTCTTTGAGGCTTTGATAAGGTGGGCCAGCGACCCTAGCACTATCCCTAAGGAGGTCAGATACGATGCCCGGGGTGAGGTAACGACCTGATTCGAAATAAAACAAAGGTCCATGCTGCGGCCTAGTTGAGAGAAAATACTCTTGCATAGCAGCAACGGCGCAAAGGGGCGACAAGGTGTGAGCTGTAGTGAGTGACTGACCTTCCCTAGCAATATTTGTCTCAGACGATTTTAGATATACTGTTATTCAATACGAGCGCGCCAGGCTGGGGTGAAAAGTTATGCATTCGGTAGAAAGATCGAATTGTTGGAGAAATTTGCGCACCCCGCTGTAGGTATATTCGCTACAGCGCAGGAAAGCGAAAAAGGCCAGGTTAAACGCGGCCCAGATCATAGAAAAAAGGAGCGCCCATTCCATTTGGACAGAAAAAGTTTCCGCTTGGCTAGGTCCTTAAAGAATTCCTTATTAAGCCTCATGTTGTGAAAACTACTGGGGACCCCCCCTGGTCAAATTAATCGCTCGCTATAGAAAGGTCCTACCCGGCACCACTACTTTACATGCAAACTGGAGAGTCCCGATCGACCAGGCACACTGACCGACGATTTTTGAAGCAGTTGAGCAGCTGATTGATCCTGACGAGTTTGTCCTGGGGCAAGCGGGCCTCCATGCGGACCCTGTCTAAGATAATACCCATGAACTCAATCTCCTGGGAGGGGCCTATCGTCTTGGAAGCGACCACCGGGGCCTTAAGTGACGTGAATACCCTCAAAAGGGTACTAAAGCTGGTTAAAGAGTCTAATTTGTTTCGTTCGGCAGTAAAAAAATCTTCCAGGATGTGAATAACATGCTGGATTCCGTAGTTGTTTTAAGGACTCACTCGAGGCCGTCAGACAGCTGATTAAAGAGGAACGG